TAAAAAAAAACTACATAAAACAACTACATGCTGCAAGCCATGCAAAGCAGAGAAAAATAAATTTACAATTTAATAATACCTCTACTCCATGATCCTAAAAGCTTCAGATGTTACAGGATATGTCTACTTCTGATTATTCAAAGTCCATGAAAATATCAAATACATTAAGTGAGATATTTTCCCCATGTATATAGGTTTTACATACCTAACAAACTTATACCAATAAATTGAATATTCAAATAAATATGGTGTTACATTTTAGTTTAAAAGGAATTTTTCTCTTCACCAATATACCAGATTAATCAAACTTGTGTTAGTCTATGACTACATTCTTCGTAAAGTGTAACATTCAAATATGTAAATAAGCAAAACAACAACTGTTGTGAGAACAGTTTATTTCATAACACCTGTTAATTTATATTAATTATTATCATATGTTTATTTGTTATTCTATGTTTGTGAAAAGGTAAATAAAGTTAGTTGAGTTTGAGTTATGACACAAAACAGTGCATTCACTTAATTCCTAGTAAAATATTACATGGTGGCAGCGGTTTAGAGCTATGCCTCAGAAGAGAAATCCAAGAAGGAAACAATCTGACTATGAAGATAATGAAAATGAACAAGAACAAAATGAAAGAAGCAGAGAAAATGAATACAACAATTCAACTATGAAGTCAATCATTGTATCAAACACTCATTCAGTTATTCAACCTCCAGCTAGTTTCTCCTTTGTACCAGCAGATTGGCCAAGATGGAAAACACGATTTCAAAGATATCGGTCAGCATCTGGGCTATCTGAAGAGTCTGAGAACAAACAAATCAACACTCTTATATACACATTAGGTGAGAAAGCTGATGAGATTTTTGCATCTTTTAATTTAGCAACCGAATCAACGCTAACATTTGAAGAAGTCTTAGATTTATTTGACAAACATTTTATCCCACGGAGGAACTTAATTTTTGAAAGAGCAAAGTTTTTGAAGAGACAACAAAAAATTAATGAAACAGTTGAAGAGTTTATAGTTAGTCTCCATTCCTTGGCTAGAACCTGTGACTGGGGTTCACTTAATGATGAAATGGTGTTGATGGTACTAATACTGGGTTTAAATGATGAGAAACTTAGTGATCGCTTGTTGCTAGATCCCGAGATGAATTTAGACAAGGCCATTACAGTAATAAGACATGCAGATAACGTAAAGAAAGAGAAGGCAGATTTATGTGATGAGAAAAGAGTTCAAATTGAAGCAACTACGTCATCGAGTTCAAACCAAAATCAAGGATATAGGTTTCGTCAAAAGAAACAAGAATACCCAGCGCAATGTATCTGGTGTGGTTATAAACCGTCCCATCCAAGAAGCACGTGTCCAGCAAAAAGCGCAACATGTAACTTATGCAAAAAGATTGGTCACTTTTCGAAGGTCTGCAGATCTAAAGAAGCACAGGAAGTAACTGACGAAAATGAAGTAAGTGAACTTGGACCTTCAAATAATAAAGTATTCATAGGTACACTTGGGGATGGGTCAAAATGTAAGCCCTGGAAACTAGAATTAGTATTTGAGGGAAAACCACAAACATTTAAAATTGATTCAGGGGCAGATGTAACAGTAATTCCCCCTGGCATAGTTGATCCAAGTAGGATCCAGCCGACTCTAGTTGAGTTGTTTGGGGCTGGTAGAACAAAATTAGAAACTGTAGGTTGTGTTAGAGCTAATATCCAATACAGAGATGTTAAAATAAATCACATGGTATACGTAGTGAAGGGACTCATAACACCCTTGCTTGGTCGTCCAGCAATACAGGACTTGAAGATTTTAACTTTTGTTAATTCAGTTGCAGAGGTAGACAGTGACTTTTTTACCGAATACCATGAAATGTTTAGTGGTGTCTGGGCGTCATTCCTTATCCCTACACAATAGCACTTAAGGATGGCGCAAAGCCATACGCAATAACCACTCCTAGGACAGTACCTTTACCCCTAATGTGTCAAGTGAAAAAAGAACTAGAAAGTATGGTACAAAATAATGTAATCACACCAGTTGAGCATGCTACTGAATGGTGCTCAGCAATGGTAGTAGTGCCTAAATCTAATGGAGATGTCCGCATATGTGTTGACTTAACAAAGTTGAATGAATCCATCCAGCGGTCTTATCATCCGATTCCCAAAATTGAAACGTCTACTCTCAGCTCAATCTCAGGAGCAAAATGGTTTTCAAAACTTGATGCAAACAATGGTTTTTGGCAAGTCCCCTTAAATGTAAATTCCCAGGATCTAACTACTTTCCTTACCCCTTTTGGACGTTTTAAATTTCTCAAACTTCCATTTGGAATCACATCAGCACCTGAACATTTTCAGAAATGCATGAACAAAATCTTAGACAACCAGTCAAATGTCGCAGTCCATATGGACGATATTCTGATTTGGGGCAAAACGAAAGAAGAACATGATACAGTTGTTCGGCAAGTACTTGAAAAGCTTAAAAATGTAGGAATGACACTTAACAAAGACAAAACTGAGTTTGGGAAGTCAAGTATTAAATTCCTCGGGCATTTCCTCTCATCCGATGGAATTTCTGTTGATAAGGAAAAGGTTTCCGCCATTCTCAAAATGGACTGCCCAAAAAACGTAAAAGAACTTCAAAGGTTCAATGGGATGGTAAACTTTCTTGGTAAGTTTATTCCTGACAAAGCTAAGATTTTGGCCCCAATGAACTCACTACTTCAAGCTAACGTTCCATGGATATGGGGTCCAGAGCAGGCGAAGGCATTTGATGAAATAAAACTCATTTTGACTAACTCTCCTTGCCTAGCCATTTACGATGTAAATCGGGAAACAATTATCTCCTGTGATGCCTCGCTTCAAGGACTAGGATCAACTCTTTCTCAAGTTCAAGATGATGGTTCTATACGACCAGTATCATTTGCATCCCGAAGCCTTCTTCCTTCTGAAAAAAACTATGCAAACATCGAGAGGGAGGCTACAGCTGTTGCTTGGGCATGTGAAAAGTTTCAAGAATTTATTATTGGCAAGAGAATAACAATACAAACAGATCACAAACCACTACTTCAAATTTTGAAATCCAAACATCTTGATGAATTGTCTCCAAGAATACAAAGAATTCGATTGCGTCTCATGAGATATGATTTTTCAATTACTTATATTCCTGGAAAGCAGCTTCTAGTTCCTGATGCTCTTTCAAGAGCACCTCTCCCATTTTCAGGTACTGATGACCGTGAGTTAGAAGAAGAAACTCAAGCGTTTGTTCAAATGGTTTTGTCGTCCATCGATATAAACGACTGCATAGTTGCTAAAGTATTGGGAGGAACAAAATAAAGATCCGACTTTACGTGAACTGAAAAAAATAATCATCCAAGGTTGGCCTTCTAAGACATCATTACGAGATGACCTAAAACCGTATAATTCAGTTAAGGATGAGCTAAGTGTGGATAATGAGATGATACTACGAGGTTCAAGACTTGTAATTCCGCCAGCTCTGCAGTCTTGGGCACTTCAAAGAGTACATGAAGGTCATTTTGGAATCACCAAGTGTCGTTTACGTGCAAAAGAGTCAGTCTGGTGGCCAGGAATTTCTTCAGCCATTGAATGTATGGTGAAATTATGCCCTACTTGTATTAAACATTCAAGGAACAGTCATGAACCATTGCTTCCCACACAATTCCCTGACAGGCCATGGAAAACACTTGCGATGAATTTGTTCAAACTTGAAGGCGTTTGGTTTTTGACTGTGACAGATTATTACTCCAGATATTTTGAGATAGCTGAATTAGAGTCATTAACATCACGAGAAGTAATAATGAGATGCAAAGCCTTTTTCTGTCGACATGGCATTCCAGAAGAAATTAGGTCTGACTGTGGGTCTCAATTTCAAGTCCTTGAACATTCAGATTTCAAGACATTTTCCAAAGTTTATGGCTTCAAGCATGTAACAAGTAGCCCAAAATTTTCCCAAAGCAATGGAGAGGCTGAAGCGGCAGTGAAAATCGCCAAAATGATTCTAAAGAAAAATGTGGAAGACCCTTATTTAGCGCTTCTAGCCTATCGAACGACACCCCTCTGGAATGGGTTCAGTCCCTCTCAGCTTCTTATGAACAGGCGATTACGGAGCACATTGCCTCAGACAGGACATTTGCTTTGTGGAAAACCAGATCTAAAGGATCTTAAAGGGAGAGAAGAAACATATCGTGAGAAGTACAAACACAACTATGATAGAAGGCACAAAGTGCAAACTCTCAATCCTCTTCATATAGGAGACCCAGTTTGGATTGTGGACCTTAGAAGACATGGCAAAATTGTGAAAATCCTGGACAGCCCTCGTTCATATATTGTTGAAACTGATAAGAGGAATGTGAGAAGAAATCGATTCCACCTCAAACTTGCCCCTTATTTAAGAGAGGAAAACAGTGAACAAAATTTGTCAGCAAATACACATCAAACAGAACCATACAACCGTCCAAAGAGAAATATACAAAAACCAAGCTGGTTGAAGAACTTTCAAACTTAAAAGGGAGGATGTTGTGAGAACAGTTTATTTCATAACACCTGTTAATTTATATTAATTATTATCATATGTTTATTTGTTATTCTATGTTTGTGAAAAGGTAAATAAAGTTAGTTGAGTTTGAGTTATGACATAAAACAGTGCATTCACTTAATTCCTAGTAAAATATTACAACAACAAAAATCTATTTCGTGAACAGAGTTGTCGGAGTATAATCATAGATTAAGTAATTATATCACTTCATCTGTGGTTTTATTGTTTAGGATCTGTGTAAACTTCAATTTACTACGTAAAGTATTAATTTAAAAGTATTAAGTAAAGTATTCATTAAAGTAAAGCTAAAACCATAGACGTTAATGCAAATTGAATATGAAGCTTCATGACTTTCAGTCCAACCTGCGACCAAGCAAACAAAAAAATGGGCAATTTCTAAATCAGCTGACTTTTATTTGCACTTGCTTCCTTGCTTGCAGTTGAGCTGACGACACTTAACCTCTAACCTCTAATCAATCTAATGTCAAAATAATGGCAGGAATGGAAGGATATTATAGTATGCCGGAACCTAGAGCTGAAGACGAGTGGAATGTAAATGACGAAGAGTATTATTATAGAAGAATTAACCAGAATCCTGCAACCAAGTATGATAGAGAAGCATTGTCTAGGTCACTTATGGTCAAACCGAAATCTAGTAATGCAGAATCTGAAGAAGAGCAAGGTAGGGAAGTTAATCATTTTAAATTAGACGTAGGGCCTAGGCTATTAATTCTACCGGTGATGGTGGTTAGTCAAACATAAACATATTACAATTTTATGAATTCTGCTTCCTTAAACAAGCATTATGACTATTTGAATCTTTTAGAGGCTGCACTTTACTTTAGGTTCTACACTCATTCAAATGAAAATATCGATCGATATATCGATCATTTGATATATCGTTTGGTTAGTTAGGTAAGTTTAACCTAACCTAACTAACCAAACGATATAACTTATCGAATGAAACAATCGAATAATTGATATTTTCATTCGGTTGTTTGTGTAGGACCTAAAGTAAAGTGCAGCCCTTTTAGAGCATATGCCTAACGAAGCATAATTGTGGTAGCGAACGTAACACGTTCGCTACCACAATTATATGGAATTTACGTTCGCATAGACCAGCGACGCATTGTGCGTCGACTCGTTTCTCACAGTAGACCACCGACGCATATTTGCGTCAGCTGGTCACATTGAAATAGACTAACGACGCACATTTGCGTCAGTGTTCTAATGTTATTAAACAGCGTATTTCTTAGCAACGGTCTATTTTAAAGCCCGTATTTTATCGTATCGGTCTAGAGGGATATCTGCCGCAAATGTGCGTCGCTTGGTCTATGGATATGACGATTGGTTACGTCACACAACAGTTGGCAACATTGTTGTTTACATTGTGTATTTCGCGACATCACAGAACAGATGTAAACGTTATAACCTTTGCAGTTTTGGCTCGTGTTTAGTGGAGTTTCTTTATTTGTTTGTGTAAAAGCTTGAAACAACCAAATTTACAACGACGCTTACGTGCGTCGCCTGGTTGATTGAAACGAAAATGTAATCTTTTTAACTGGATTTCATTAAATAGACTGACCGACGCCTATATGCGGCGTTTTAAAATTTGCTCATAACGAAAAATAAAAACAATATTTATTGCTTACTAATTCACTTAAGGTTATTATGAAGTCAATTTGTCCATTTAAACGATATTTCTCTTTTGGTCTGTCGGCAATGTTATTCCTATATCACTTGGTCTGTAAGCAACGTCATGATCATTCCTTTTAGTCTGTAGGAGTGACCGGACCGACGCAAATGTGCGTCACTCGGTAGCGAACGTGTTAAGTTAGGCCTACCAATTTTTTCTGCCTGATCAAAAAACTCTGGTTAGTTTCAAGTGTTATCAAAAACATACCCATGCAGTGCATTACAGAATGACAAGCACCAAGTCACAGAAAACATACTACTATAACCCAGAATGCCAACCGCATGGTAATAAGCGTTAAGTAGTTTGAGAGAGCTTTGCCTATCAATTCGTAGGCAGCGCCACCAGCGTTGCTATACACTCATTAGGCCTATAGCTGGTGTAGCATAGCTGGTGGCGCTGCCTACGAATTGACAGGCAAAGCTCTCTCGGTACTTAACGCTTTTTACCATGCGGTTGGCATTCTGGGTTATAGTAGTATGTTTTCTGTGACCAAGTTAACTTGCCTGCCATGAATTAGGGATTAGCATCGATAGGTCAACCATTGATGTTCACCATCAATGGTAGGCTAACATCAGTATCAACCATCAATACATTTTAAGTTACTGAGCATCAATATTTTTAGGACAAAAACATCGATAGTTGATATTTTTTCTGTTTATCTAGTTCTAGATTTGCAAGACGAAATCATAATTGATTAACGCTGGAGTGGTGCTTCTGAAATTTATTACAAATGAATTGGTTTGGCAGTATTTAGGACAAGCACCTCAGCAAAATTTAATATACCGTATAGTTATCTCACTCTCACTCTACTCTAGGATAAGTCTAGTCCAGCTCGCAACATTTTTGGATTCTATAGGCTAGCGTATTTTATCAGCCTTTCAATGGAATAAACACAAAAATTCAACATTTTCACTAAAACTAGACCTAATGGATAAGGTACAGCCTATTCAATTGATCCAAAGCTAGAATAAAGAAAGTTAACTACTTATTAACCTCATCTAACCACAGAAAGCTGTAGTGGCGGATCCAGAGGGGCCAAGGGGCGACCACCAACCCCCCCCCCCCCCTCGGGCATAGGCCTACATAATATATTTTTGTTACTTCATGTAATACAGTAGTGCATACACATTGCGTGAAATAATTTATCACACTAACTTTGAACAAAGAATTGGTATACAACTGCCATTTTGGAGACTTAGTTTACACAAATTTTTCGGGGTGATACCCCCGAACCCCCCCCCCCCATCACCCCGGTACGCCCCTCCACCCTTGTGACTGCTCTAGATTCGCCACTGGAAAGCTGTTAACTTATATGACACATTTCAATGAATTTACAGTGAAGTCTTGAGTATGATGCTTCAAAAAATGGTGGGTGTATGAGAATCAAAATCAAACAGACTGACCTGCTAGTAGGCTCGTAAACATAAACAAAGAAATGTGTAATGTGACTTAAAGGCTTCAGTCAAAGAGGAGGTTGTAGATAGCCAGTGGTAGAGTAGACTAATTTACTAAAGTAAAAATTCCTTCGTTTCTACAGAGAAAATACTCTGTTCAGTAGGCGAATGCAGTTTAGCTTTTTTCAAGTACTTAACTTAGACTATAGATATCTATTTTGCCAATGCCTAGAGTAGACAAAGTCATGAATTGGTCTACCAATTCTTGTGGATGCTCGCAATTGTGTGTTTTCTAATATACGAGGAAGTGTTTTTTGGACAAAAAACCGACAAATCACTAAGAATATTGTGTTGTGGTTTCAGCTTACTTAACAACAAGGAAGTTCATTGCAGATGGTGTTAGAATAGCTACACTCATTACAGAAAACCTTCTTAGTCATCCGTTTGTTGTGATTCGACGACAATGTCAGGTAAGTAAATGTTAACAAAATCTGGCATTGTCGAAAATTGTGACATCAAACCCCCTGTGGGCACCCTTGCCTTTTACCGTAGTTAAAGTATTGCCTACAATAACATTATTTTAACTAGGCCAGGGGCGTACTAAATTAGTCAATCAATCTCTATCTTAATGCAATTGAGGTTTTAAGAATATAAGCCATTAATTACCGTACAAATTTTACTGAAAGTAATAAAAACTTAACGTTTCCTATAAAATGGTACCTGTTTAGGTAAACCACAATTCACGGAGGTTCCACAACACACCGTTCACTCTGTTGCCGGTGATTGTAAGACTGAACCAGAGGCAAGGTTTGGCAACACTGTGGAAAGGCCTGGGCAGTGTGTTACTTGTCCGAGGCATGACACTTGCCATAGAGGATGTCATCTCCAAGTTCACCCCCTGGCCTAAGTGAGTACTATCCTTTATCAAAGATATTAGAGCATGTCTGGTACTTGATTGTGGTGTGAGTAATGAAATGATATACTAATGTTGCGGTACAATTTCCATGGCCTCCCATGGATAAGAAGTTATTTGTATACCATATATTTTTTTATTAGGCTATGGTTGTTTCTCTGGGGATCTTAAGAAACTGGCCCAAACTATTACAACAGAATCAAAAAAGATAGGACTTAAAGTAAGTGCAGCGAAATCCAAATATCTCAAAGTGGAAAGAATTCAAAATGAGGATGAGGGACCATTAAATGTCAACAACCTGACCTTTGAGAGAGTATCCGAATTCAAGTAGGCCTACCTAGGAATAACAGTTAACTCTATAAACAAAAGAGAAAATGAAATAGAAAAGAGACTGATCGCCGCAACTAACTGTTTTCGAAGCATGTCCAAAATCTTTGGATCAGAATTACTATCGAAATCCACAAAAATATGAATTTATAAAACTATATAATCTAATTGGTACTTTTGTATGGACCAGAGGCCTGGACCCTAACGAAACAAAACGAAAGGAGATTAATCGTCTTTGAGAACAAGATATTAAGAACGATTTTCGGACCTTTCAAAGAAAATGAAATATGGCGGATCAGGAAAAACAGAGAACTACGAGAAAATTACGAAGACCCAGATATAGTAGCTAGTGTTAAGAGCCAAAGATTGAGGTGGGCAGGACACATAGCAAGAAGAGAAGAAAACAGTCTCCTGAAGATATCTACAAAGGGACGACCACGAAGGACCCGACCTCTAGGAAGACCCAAACTGCGATGGGGAGACCTGACGCGGAGAGACCTTCAGTAGATGGGGACATCAATTGACCAAGCAGCAGAAAGAAAACAGTGGAGGCTTGATGCCGAGGCCAAAAACTAACTTAGGTTTGAATGGCCAAGGAGATAAGGAAAGATAAGTTTGTTTCTTTAGTTTCCATTATCTTTTATCAGTCCAAAAACTTTACAGAGTATTTAAATTTGTGTGAACGGGGGTATCACTGCAATACAGTAGACTCACTCTTATCCGGGCTCCTCGGGACCAAGGCCAATCCGGATAACGGGTTTACCGGTTAAACTGATGTCCCCCAAAACTCGTAGAAACAGACCGTTTAAATGCGTATTTGACTTAAATTTAGGAGAGCATTGTAATTAGACACGTGATCACTAGTCTCAAATCTTCCCCACGAGAATGGTCATTTCAGTACCTCCCACTTTCTGCCGATCTAGTCCGGTTAAACCGATGTGCTGATAAAAATTGTCCGGTTAATGAGATTTCATTTCTGCCGAGTGTAGTCCAGTTAAACCGATGTCCGGTTAAAAGGTGTCCGGATAAGAGGGAGTCTACTGTAGGTGTTTTCAAGACAACATTTGTTGGCAACGGCTGTTACCATGACAACGGGTATTATCATGACAGATGTTTCCATGGCAACGGTGGTTGCCATGACAACAGATGTTTCCGTGGACACGGTGGTTACCATGACAACAGATGTTTCCATGGCAACAGTGGTTACCATGACAACAGTTGTTTCCATGGCAACGGTGGTTACCATAGCAACCGGTTGTTTCCATGGCAACAGTGGTTACAATGACAACAGATGTTTCCATGGCAACGGTGGTTACCATGACAACAGATGTTTCCATGGCAACGGTGGTTACCATAGCAACCGGTTGTTTCCATGGCAACCGGTTGTTTCCATGGCAACGGTGGTTACCATAGCAACCGGTTGTTTCCATGGCAACGGTGGTTACCATGACAACAGACGTTTCCATAGCAACGGTGGTTACCATGACAACAGATGTTTCCATGGCAACGGTGGTTACCATGACAACAGATGTTTCCATGGCAATGGTGGTTACCATGACAACAGATGTTTCCATGGCAACGGTGGTTACCATGACGACAGATGTTTCCATGGCAACGGTGGTTACCATGACGACAGATGTTTCCATATCAACGGTGGTTACCATGACAACAGTTGTTTCCATGGCAACGGTGGTTACCATAGCAACCGGTTGTTTCCATGGCAACGGGGGTTACCATGACAACAGATGTTTCCATGGCAACGGTGGTTACCATGACAACAGATGTTACCATGGCAACGGTGGTTACCATGACAACAGTTGTTTCCATGGCAACGGTGGTTACCATAGCAACCGGTTGTTTCCATGGCAACGGTGGTTACCTTTTTTTTTTTTTTTTTTTTTTAACTTAATTTTATTTTACAATCTGTTCAATACTTTGAACAATTAGTAAAAGGGATAATATAAATAAGTGTCTTGACCAAGAATCTTCCCTGTGAAAGATCTTGCAAAATTAAATAGTCATGTCATAACTAAAACTATACAAATCGGTATGGGAGTTCTAGAACTTTCACAATTTTTAGTCTGTTGGGAAAATCACTATTGTCCAGCAAATTAACGGCTATATTGTTCGGGTGGGTTTCGAGTTTTTCTTGATAGTTCTTGCTAATTCTTGTTATTTCTTCAATTACTGTAGGTATTCTGAAATCTTCATGGATTGTTCGATTCGAAACAAACCACGGAGCATCAACTATTCTTCGTAGCGCCTTTGACTGAAATCTTTGAATAATTGCTAAGTTGGATTTACTTGCCGTTCCCCAAAGCTGTATCCCGTACGTCCAAACAGGTTTGATCATAACTACGGTGGTTACCATGACAAAAGATGTTTTCATGGACACGGTGGTTACCATGACAACAGATGTTTCCATGGCAACGGTGGTTACCATGACAACAGTTGTTTCCATGGCAACGGTGGTTACCATAGCAACCGGTTGTTTCCATGGCAACGGGGGTTACCATGACAACAGATGTTTCCATGGCAACGGTGGTTACCATAGCAACCGGTTGTTTCCATGGCAACGGGGGTTACCATGACAACAGATGTTTCCATGGCAACGGTGGTTGCCATGACAACAGATGTTACCATGGCAACGGTGGTTACCATGACAACAGTTGTTTCCATGACAAAGGTGGTTACCATGACAACGGTTGTTTCCATGGCAACGGTGGTTACCATAGCAACCGGTTGTTTCCATGGCAACGGGGGTAACCATGACAACAGTTGTTTCCATGGCAACGGTGGTTACCATAGCAACCGGTTGTTTCCATGGCAACGGGGGTAACCATGACAACAGATGTTTGCCATGACAACAGATGTTACCATGGCAACGGTGGTTACCATGACAACAGTTGTTTCCATGGCAACGGTGGTTACCATGACAACAGTTGTTTCCATGGCAACGGTGGTTACCATAGCAACCGGTTGTTTCCATGGCAACGGGGGTTACCATGACAACAGATGTTACCATGGCAACGGTGGTTACCATGACAACAGTTGTTTCCATGACAACGGTGGTTACCATAGCAACCGGTTGTTTCCATGGCAACGGTGGTTGCCATGACAACAGATGTTACCATGGCAACGGTGGTTACCATGACAACAGTTGTTTCCATGGCAACGGTGGTTACCATGACAACAGTTGTTTCCATGGCAACGGTGGTTACCATAGCAACCGGTTGTTTCCATGGCAACGGGGGTTACCATGACAACAGATGTTTCCATGGCAACGGTGGTTGCCATGACAACAGATGTTACCATGGCAACGGTGGTTACCATGACAACAGTTGTTTCCATGACAACGGTGGTTACCATAGCAACCGGTTGTTTCCATGGCATCGGTGGTTACCATAGCAACCGGTTGTTTCCATGGATACGGGGGTTACCATGGCAACAGACGTTTCCATGGCAACGGTTATTACTATGACAACAGATGTTACCATGGCAACGGTGATTACCATGACAACAGACGTTTCCATGGCAACGGTGTTTACCATGACAACAGTTGTTTCCTTGGCAAAGGTGGTTACCATAGCAACCGGTTGTTTCCATGGCAACGGTGGTTACAATGACAACAGATGTTTCCATGGCAACGGTGGTTACCATGACAACAGATGTTTCCATGACAACGGTGGTTACCATGACAACAGATGTTTCCATGGACACGGTGGTTACCATGACAACAGATGTTTCCATGGCAACGGTGGTACCATGACAACAGTTGTTTCCATGGCAACGGTGGTTGCCATGACAACAGATGTTACCATGGCAACGGTGGTTACCATGACAACAGTTGTTTCCATGACAACGGTGGTTACCATGACAACGGTTGTTTCCATGGCAACGGTGGTTACCATAGCAACCGGCTGTTTCCATGGCAACGGTGCTTACCATAGCAACCGGCTGTTTCCATGGCAACGGTGGTTACCATAGCAACCGGTTGTTTCCATGGATACGGTGGTTACCATAGCAACCGGTTGTTTCCATGGATACGGGGGTTACCATGGCTACAGTGGTTACCATGACAACGGACGTTTCCATGGCAACGGTGGTTACCATGACAACAGATGTTACCATGGCAACGGTGGTTACCATGACAACAGACGTTTCCATGGCAACGGTAATTACCATGACAACAGACGTTTCCATGGCAACGGTGGTTACCATGACAACAGTTGTTTCCATGACAACGGTGGTTACCATAGCAACCGGTTGGTTCCATGGCAACGGTGGTTACCATAGCAACCGGTTGTTTCCATGGCAACGGTGGTTACCATAGCAACCGGTTATTTCCATGGATACGGGGGTTACCGTGACAACAGATGTTTCCATGGCAACGTTGGTTACCATGACAACAGATGTTTCCATGGCAACGGTGGTTACCATGACAACAGATGTTTCCATGGCAACGGTGGTTACCATGACAACGGTTGGTTCCATGGCAACGGTGGTTACCATAGCAACCGGTTGTTTCCATGGCAACGGTGGTTACCATAGCAACCGGTTATTTCCATGGATACGGGGGTTACCATGACAGCAGATGTTTCCATGGCAACGGTGGTTACCATGACAACAGATGTTTCCATGGCAACGGTGGTTACCATAGCAACCGGTTGGTTCCATGGCAACGGTGGTTACCATAGCAACCGGTTGTTTCCATGGCAACGGTGGTTACCATGACAACAGACGTTTCCATAGCAACGGTGGTTACCATGACAACAGATGTTTCCATGGCAACGGTGGTTACCATGACAACAGATGTTTCCATGGCAACGGTGGTTACCATGACAACAGATGTTTCCATGGCAACGGTGGTTACCATGACAACTGTTGTTTCCATGGCAACAGTGGTTACCATAGCAACCGGTTGTTTCCATGACAACGGTGGTTACCATGACAACGGTTGGTTCCATGGCAACGGTGGTTACCATAGCAACCGGTTGTTTCCATGGCAACGGTGGTTACCATAGCAACCGGTTATTTCCATGGATACGGGGGTTACCATGACAGCAGATGTTTCCATGGCAACGGTGGTTACCATGACAACAGATGTTTCCATGGCAACGGTGGTTACCATAGCAACCGGTTGGTTCCATGGCAACGGTGGTTACCATAGCAACCGGTTGTTTCCATGGCAACGGTGGTTACCATAGCAACCGGTTATTTCCATGGATACGGGGGTTACCATGACAACAGATGTTTCCATGGCAACGGTGGTTACCATGACAACAGATGTTTCCATGGCAACGGTGGTTACCATAGCAACCGGTTGTTTCCATGGATACGGGGTTTACCATAGCAACCGGTTGTTTCCATGGATACGGGGGTTGCCATGACGACATATGTTTCCATGGCAACGGTGGTTACCATGACAACAGATGTTTCCATGGCAACGGTGGTTACCATGACAACAGATGTTTCCATGGCAACGGTGGTTACCATGACAACAGTTGTTTCCATGGCAACGGTGGTTACCATAGCAACCGGTTGTTTCCATGGCAACCGGTTGTTTCCATGGCAACGGTGGTTACCATAGCAACCGGTTGTTTCCATGGCAACGGTGGTTACCATGACAACAGACGTTTCCATAGCAACGGTGGTTACCATGACAACAGACGTTTCCATGGCAACGGTGGTTACCATGACAACAGATGTTTCCATGGCAATGGTGGTTACCATGACAACAGATGTTTCCATGGCAACGGTGGTTACCATGACGACAGATGTTTCCATGGCAACGGTGGTTACCATGACGACAGATGTTTCCATGGCAACGGTGGTTACCATGACGACAGATGTTTCCATGGCAACGGTGGTTACCATGACAACAGATGTTTCCATGGCAACGTTGGTTACCATGTTGACAGATGTTTCCATGGCAACGGTGGTTACTATGACAGCAGTGGTTACCATGGCAACGGTGGTTACCATGAAAGCAGTGGTTACCATGACAGCAGTGGTTACCTTGGCAACGGTGGTTACCATGACAATGGCGGTTACCATGGCAACGGCGGTTACCATGTCAACGGCGGTTAACAGCAATAACAGCGGTAACCATGGCACTAACCATAGCAGTTACCATAGCACCATTGTAACCATACCATAACATCATATCTCAACTTACAATACAATTTGTTTATTTTGTATAAAGCTTTCATATAAACGGTGAGATATAAACAGTTGTACTACTTTAAAAAATTTAAATAAAACATTAATAATAATACATACAAAATAATGCATATGTACTTAAAACAAGACAACAAAATATTTTGTATGCTGAGTAGGGCCCTCTTTGGGGATTCGCGGACCTAGCGCAGTCTAGGCCTGCTGCTATCCTAGATCATTGGGCTTTTGATAATGAATTTGTCTTGGCTGAAAAAAAAACATTTTTATAGTCTGATAGTCAGTTACAAAGCTGTCATGTTATTCATTTACACTCATTGTTGGCTTATCTTTGCTTTAAAATACACACCCTGGTATTTCAACGTTTCAATAAACTATACTATTTATAATATATCATGTATTTGTTTAGAAATATAATAAAATAATTATCTTTTATTATATTTTAGGGAAGTGGGACGGTTGAGCACGTTTAAACAGTGGGGACAACATTTCCTGCTTAAAAGGTAAGGACATAAATCTGATTATTATGAATATGTTAGGGCAAATTTACATGAGACTCTTTGCATTAGTTGGTTCACAAATTGTAAATGATTTTACATATTATAGATACTTTCAATTTTTAGGTTCCCCTTTTGATTCAAGTAATTCTACAAGCTGGTCTAGTGGTAGAGTGTAGGGCTTCGGTGCCTGAGTTCCCAGGTTCAAATCCGGTCAAAATTACCAATGGATTTGATCTATTAGATAATGCCGTAACCCTCTAGGACTAGCCTGAAGTAATGTTTAAAACCCCGGGCTAGAACTAGTGTCCTAGGATGTGGAGGTGAGACGACAAAAATTTATTATGTAAGCTCCAAATCATACAAACATCAAAAAGCAAAGTCCTTTTGCTTTTCCATTGTTTTTATCTACATAACTATCACCGTAGCATTTTAGCTGACTCGAGATGCAGGACCCTCCATCCATTGAATGTTACTGTTATATCAAGGTGGGTTGCATATTAATAGGTCTGATTTAGTTAAATAGTTTTGTTTTCCATCTGTTTAACTTGTGTGTACATGTCCGCAGTGTAACGCTTGCCATTGTCACGCCGTTCTACGTCGCAAGTCTGGTGGAGACTGTACAGAGTGACATAGCCAGTGAGAAGCCAGGCATCTTCGATGTGTTCCGGGAAGGAATGTGTCGTCTGTTCAGTTGGAGTGGCACTCAGAAAGGTATGTTTACTGGGAACAGCACATTTGCCATGCTTAGGCCTGTATATTACTGAGGTATCCGTTGCAATTTTTATCGGATTTTGTTTTACCTATTGTCATTTTACGTTTCTTTTGATAGATCAAATTACCTCGACCCAATGTTCATAATTATCTTAAAATAAATAAACCAACCACATGGTTTTGCTGAATAATATATTTCATTTGGTCAAGAATAGGTGTGAGGTATTGAAAAATAAAATCAATTTGACAGTTCTGCTTGTTCACATTGAGATGTCATAGCAAATGTAAACATTATGAGTTTTCTCATTGCAGCCATGATGACCAATCAATAATTACTTTAAAAATCCTCATCTCAGAACTTTGAAAGCAAAAGGGGCAAAGCCCTCGGTCAGTATTGAAGTGCGAATAGTAATAAACAAATCTTTGGTATAGTAGCTGTATTTTTGTAAAATTTAAGCCCAGTCGGCTCAGTACCTAGTTTTTACGTGATTGAAACACACACACACACAGATGGACACCATTAGATTTTTTATAATAGTATAGATTTTATGTAAGATGATTAGAACAAGAGTTAGGCTTAAAACCAGTCACTATACCGTTGTTAATAATGGCCTACCGGTATTGATTTATACTTATTCAAAGTGTTTCCCACAAAGACTTGATCTGAATCATGTTTTTATCTTACTCACAGAAACATGTGTATTAAAGAAAAGCCAATCAAGATTTTTTTGCCAAATGTTACTTGCTAGTTTACCTGAGAAAGATAGAGTCCAGAAACTAATTTACTATCGTCTCATTTGTAGGACGCATGTTGCCTATCTGGTCTCTGGTTCTTCCTACCGTAGTGTTTGGGATCTGCAAATATGGATTCTCAAGATTCTTACAAAGCGGGCTCTCTGGGATATTGCATCTCAACCTCAGAATATCACAGGAAAATAAGGTAAAGGGTTGTTTTTAATTTGTTAAAACCTATATGCAAATACTCTTATTTTTTAGTAGCCTAATGTTTTCAAATATATTTTCTTTTATAGTGCAAACATGTTTAGTTTTTCTATTTATTCATTTTTAATCACAAAATGATAGTAAACAACTTGTTTCAAATTTTCCTTTTTTTCATGTCCATTTTTATATGAGAAGGGCATTTTTATATGAGAATTCAAATTAGGAAATATAGGCCTAAGTATATTTTATATGACTAAACTCAATACATGATTGAAACACACTGTCATTATTAGAATTTTTTAATTTGGATCAGCTAAAGTCCATAAGTAAAAAGAAAACACCCTAAAGGAAAATTACCTCTAAGGAAAAAAGAGGTAAAATAAAGATTCACCCTAAAAAAAGAAAATAAGATTCAGTCACTATCAATGTACTCAAACGTTATGAAACACAACCAAAACCAACTTCAGCTTTGGCAAGATATACCACATCGCTCAATATTTCCTAACCCTAGGATATTCAGATTTTCTCTAAATCTGGACTACAGAGCCTACCAACTTTCATTTCCAGGACTACATAAATATAAGTTAAAGTATTTGAATTGTTAAATGAGTGTTAAAAAGGTCTACTGTTCTTTAAGTAGGGATGGACGAGATTGGATTTTTAGTTCGAGACGAGACGAGACGAGATTTTTTATTTCTCATAAAATTTCGAGACGAGATCGAGACGGGATTTCCCTTCTCATACACAACGGGAAATGCATGTTCAAAATTTTTACCTGATTTTGTAACATTGACTGTTTAAATACAAAAATAATGATAATAGGCAAGAATATTTACAATCTTTTATTAAAAAACATCAGCATAAAATTTTTTTATTAATCACGCCTAACTTATTAAAAATGCCTACGATTAGGAAACATAGTGATATCAGTTAGGATAAAGTTCAACTTATCCTAAAATAAAATAAATCATAAAATAAAAGCAATATTAATTTTTATAAAATAGTTACTTGTTTTGACTTTTTATAGTAATAAAACATTCCTCACACTGCTTACACTTAACAAAACTTCTCAAATGTTATTAAAGTAATATTATTAAAATAAATAAAGTAATATTTACATTTAAAGAATTAATTAAATAAGAACGCCTTCGCAAAGGAAACGCAACTACAACACGCTCCTGTATTGCGGGTATTGCATTGACTTTCTGCAGGAGTTTTTAATTTTTTTTTTTTATTCTCGTCTCGATAAAAATCTCGGCCAAAAAGAAATCTCGTCTCGTGTAACGAGATTTAAAATTTCCCGAAAATTTCCCGAAATTTCGAGACTTGACTATCCCTATCTTTAAGCTTAATTTTTCAGGCATACTTTGAAAAAATTTGCCAAGAAATTATGAAACTGACCAAGTATTAACTTGACAATAACACCTGGTTTTTATGTAATAAGATTTTTAAATAACAAAATATATGTTACCAGGGTGCCTTGCCAAGGGACTCCTTTAACCATGCAGCCCATCAAGACATTGAGATTACGTCCTCCATGTTTGCAGTGTTGGGGACAGAGGTTGTGTTCTATCCGTTTGAAACCATTTTGCACAGGTAATTCAATTGGTTTCAATATCACAATGCCTTTTTTTGTAATGATGAAAAGTTGTGGGTGCTTTGCTCTCTGTTATGAAAGGACAAAAAATCTGTGCGACAGTTGTTCAACAATTTATACAGTAAAATAATAAAGACAGTACAGATCTTCAAAGGACTTGATTAGTTTTGTTCAGAAAATCCTCTTAGGGGAGTGAACTGGTATAGTCGTGTAGCGCAGGACTCTGGTTCCTGAGTTCCTGGGTTCAAAACTCACCAAATCTAGGTGATGATGCCGCAATCCCTAGGTCTAGCCTGAATTAATGTGAAAACTATCCCAGGCCTAGTCCTAAGTCCTAGGTAAAAAAAATTGAAAATCCTCATGTAGTGACTAAATAAAAGAAAGCCATTACAATAAATGAAACCATACTGTGCCTACACATTCTAGGACGCTATTTCTAGCCCTGAACTGTTTTACAAATTACTTCAAGCGTGGTGAAGTTTGGTACGGTTATAAAAAAGAACTTTTGTTTGCTTTAAAATACCAAGACTTTTTGGGCTTTTAACCTTTTGGTCTGAAATTACAGGTTGGATTAAGTTTACTAGACTCAGTGCATAGATTTGTTTTATAAAATAATAGTTGTTTTATGAAATAGTGCAATCAACTGGCCAGTCTTATTGACAATCATCTGGTTCTGCTGTTTGCATGGCCTTTACTTAATAGCAACCTTTTTCTGTGTATCTGCATGGCGGCCATCATGGCAATTTCTTCTCGCCAACTCAAAATTATTATTTGATGTTGGGCAGCACAACCATCCAAGTGGCAAGGAACAACTGTTAATATTTATCTGAGCTGCTGAGCAAAAGACCGCAAGTACAGCTATCCACCTGACTAATTAAGACGGCCTAAAATAATATTAGTAAATGGTATTCCCTAGTCTTAGCAAAATGTTTAACAACTATTTTATTTACAGAATTCATCTGCAGGGAACGAGAACAATCATCGACAACCTAGACTCAGGGAGGGAGGTTATCCCCATCTTGACTAGCTACGAGGGAGCTCTCGACTGTTACACCACCACAGTACAGTCCGAGGGAGTGTGCGGACTGTACAAGGTATGATGGATTTAATAGGCCTAACTTGGGAATGTGATGAGTGTTTGTTGGCGAGCTGTTATTTTATTGCTTAAAAGTCCTTTCACATCCTTGGACACAAGGCTCTAGCCTGGAGCCGTTTAATAATCGAGTAGAACCTTGATAATCTGGCTTGAACGGGGGGCCTCGCCAGTAGGCAGGATTAAGACCAAATCATCGAAAGATAATTTAAATTGTATGTTCAAAACTAGTAGTGAATTAAAGGGAGCTGAAGTTCCTCAAAAAGTTAACAATAATAATAACAAAAAACAATAATCAATTGTATTTCTTTTTTATGAATGAGTGGTGGGTGTGTTTGTCCTCTTTCCAGTACTTTTGTTGTCCCTATCTTAATTTTTAATAATGATAATATTAACTACTGATTATGTAATACACTGTAAAGCTAAAAGGCATATTGCGTTAAGATTCTGAACAAGGTAAGCAGTGATTTAAGCAAGGGAAAACTCCTTTAACTTTTTTTAGTTTTTTGAGTTAGGGATAAATGTTTGAAATACTATCTTTTTTACAAAGAAGAAGAGTAAGGGTTTCATTCTGTATGATCATGAACCATTTCCCTGCTTAGATCTGAGTAACAGGGGACCGAGCGCTTGTGGTGTTTAAGTAGAAAGCTGTATTCATGTAAACTGACTGTCGTAGGTTTTGTGGTGTTTCTCAACCCTATTATTTATGTTTTCTTTCTACATGCTCTTTACTTTCCTGGTGAAATGCCTGTTTGAATGGTTTGTACTTGGATTTACTGTATAACACACTTTTGCAGGGCTTTGGAGCGTTGGTTCTGCAATGTTTAGCACATTACGCTCTCATCAGGGTGACAAAAGCTGTTCTCACACAAGCTTCGACGTTCTTCCGAAGCTCATCTCCGCCTCCGCCCGAGCTGTTAAAGAGGACTATTACCACGGAAAACTTAAAAGTGAATCGACTGTGAATCTTGTGTCAGTAGTTTTAAGTTTTTTATCTAGTCCGTGAACATGAAAACACATCAACTTTTAAAGTCTTGTTAATATACCGAGTAAGTTTAGATGTAATTAAATCAATATTCATGACATAAATTTTCCCTATTTATATTTTGTACTTATTTTTACCAAAACATTATTCATAAATGTAGTCGTGTAGCAATTCTAACAAAATGTTTTTCTATTAAGACCCAAGACCTATTGTTTAATGGTTTTTAACCACATCAAGAACATTTTAAAGATTATAAATTTTGTGAAAATAAACTATCCTTGCCAGCTGGCACGGATGGTTGCCATCTTGTATTTGTTTAAGTATAATCTTTTACTATCGAAAGAAGTACAAAGTAGACTTACCATTCCTCAAAAAGGCCAGTAATGCACTGAGGCATTTGCCAAGCACCAAATATACGAAATATACGAGCAGACTAGGGGCGAGCTACTTGAGTATTTGCCAAATTATGAGCAGAGGTGTCCTAACGTTCATCACCTTCCGAGCAGTGGGTTTGTTTCTTTATTGTTTGGTAAAGGGCGGGAACGGACAATCTTTTTGATTCGACAAATAGATGTGAAGCGCTTGGTAAATGCCTCATGTACAGGCCCATCTTTTTTTTTTTTTTTTTTTTTTTTTTCTCATGGGGCTGGGGTATTCTTACCCCTTGCTACCTCGACCTACAAGATCTTTTGTAGCACCCTTTTTTGTTTAGTCACCTAACCGAAGTTTTCTTGCGAAGCCAATCAGTTGGTGCACACCCATTTCTCTTATTTCAGTAGGCAACGGGAATGCCTTTCCTAGGTGTTTCAACCTTTTATGGGCTAACGCCGGACATTCCAGCCATATGTGCTCAGCTGATTCTGTTTCATTGAGACAGAATCTACACTGGTCTGTCTGTCTAAGCCCTATTGTCTTAAGGTACTTCCTTACATAGCCATGCCCTGTAAGTAGACCTATCAGGAGGCTTATTTCTTCTTTTTGGAGGTCGAAGATGTTTCTCCATTCCTTACTAAGAGGATTGATTAGCATCTTTGATTGTCTCAGGCCTGGGGTATTTTCCCAAACCTTTTCTTGTTGTCCCTCTGCCCAGGTTATGATTTTTGATCGGCATTTGCTCACTGGGACTCCACAGCATGGTTCAGGCCCAATGAGTTCGGATTTTGCCCCCTCGCCCGCCAGGACGTCAGCCCTTTCGTTGCCTTCGTGCCCAGCGTGACCTGGGATCCATGCAAGTTGGATTCTGTTGTGTTCGCTCAGGGCCTTGAGGGTGTTCCTGCAGCTCTGCACAACTTTAGACTCCACCACGCAGGCGTCAATTGCTTTGAGAGCAGCTTGGCTGTCTGAGAGGATAAGCACCCCTCTCCTCTTCAGGCCTTTGTCCAACTGCAGTCTCGCACAATGCTCTATTGCCATGACTTCCGCCTGGAAGACAGTCGGCGTTTCACCGAGGGCCTTTGAGAGGTAGGTTCCAATACCATACACTCCAAGTCCCGACCTGCCCTCCCTCCGCGATCCGTCTGTGTAAAACACCATCGCCGACTTTCCTGTTTTATCCCTTACCTTCTGCCATTCTCCTCTGTCTCCAATGGCCACTTGGTAGGGTTTATCAAAGTCGTACTTCCTAATCATAAGATCTGAGACCGTCATTTCCATATCCAAACTTGGGAGTTCCCTTAGGATTGACATGTGACCCGTCCTTCTCAAAGAAGATATTTCTCCTTTACTACAAGTCTTAAGGGCTGTTAATGCTGCCCTTTTCTTTATATCCAGCCCGAGTGGGAGTGCGCCTAAAATTGACTCCATCACCACTGTCGGGCATGATCTTGTTGTGCCACATACCCCTGTGCAAGCAAGTCTTTGCAGTTGTTGCAGCTTTGCAGCTGCCCCAGTTTGCTCTGCCTTCTGCCACCACACCAGGGCTGCGTATTCCACCATAGGTTTGACTATAGTTTCGTATATCCACCAGATCAATCTAGGGTTGAGGCCCCATTTTTTGCCAAATGTTCTTCTACAGGCGCCCATGGCTCCTGTTCCCTTGGCGATGACATGATCTATGTGCCTGTTCCAAGTCAACTTCTGATCTAAGTATACACCCAGATATTTAGTCTCCTTGACTGACTTGACCCTCATTCCCCTAATTTGGGGTGGGGAGATTTTAGTCCTCCTTTTTCTCGTGAAGGTCACTATTTCAGTTTTTGTAGGGTTGATTGTCAAACCCTTTGTGTTACACCAATTGTCGATGTAGTCTACCGCCCGCTGGGTAAGGTCCTCAATGGTACCTTTGTGATTCCCTCTCACGGTCAGCACTAGATCATCTGCAAATGCCTGTAGGTCAATGCCTGTTTGTTCAGCTTCTCTCAGCAGGCCATCAACCACAAGTGTCCATAGCAGGGGAGATAAAACTCCTCCTTGCGGACACCCTCTTCTGGCCTCGACTATAACCGACGAGTCTCCAACCGTGGCTGATATTTCTCTGCTTCGGAGCAGAGCCATTATCCAGCACACTATTTCTTGAGGAATTTCTCTGTCTGTCAGTGCTTCCTCTATTGACTGATAGGACACATTATCAAAGGCTCCTTGGATGTCCATGAAGACTCCTGCTAGGATTTCCTTGTGATCTAGTGTGTCTTCTATTCTCACTACCAGGCTATGAAGCGCTGTTGTAGTCGATTTGCCCATCATAAAGGCATGTTGGTTCACATTCAGGCTTGAGTTCATGAGAATCTCATCCCTCACGTGCCTGTTAATGATCTTCTCCATAGCCTTTACCATGAATGAGGTTAAACATATTGGTCTGTACAAGGCCACACTAAAAAAACAGGCCGTAATGCTCGTCAAGCATGACGTCACGATAGAAGACGGCAATGACGTAATTTTGGCGTTTGTGATCAGCTGCTTGTTTTAATCTTTCATTGGAAAATGAATAAATAAGTACTTATACGTCATAGCCGTCTTCTATCGTGACGTCATGCTTGACGAGCATTACGGCCTGTTTTTTTAGTGTGGCCTTGGTCTGTAGGATTTAGGCTGAGTTGGTACTTTTCCTTTCTTCCGTAGGAACACCACTCTGGCTCTTCTCCAACAAGTTGGGATGTGTCCAAGTGCATAACTGCCCCTGTACAATGCAACAAGGAGGTCCACTAGGTCCTCCATGCCTTCTTGCAAGAGAGCAGGGAATATGCCATCTATCCCAGGAGATTTGAAAGGGCTGAAAGAGTTTACTGCCCATCTCACAACCTCTGGTTTGAATATCTTTCCCGACACCCTTCTGGCTAGCGCCACCTCCCTAGGAGACTTCCCTAGGCGTGGCCAATTAGCTCCTTCCCCTAAGGGACAGCTCTCCGGGAAGTGTACTCTTAGCATCTCCTTTAGAGTGTCGTCCATGTTGGTCGTGAGATGGCCATCATTTGCCATTACTGCGCCCAAAGGGTTCATCTTGGATCCATGGTTAGTTTTTAAATAATGAAAATAGTTAATAGAGTCACTGACATATGTGTACTGATTACTGTCAAATACGCCATTTTTTTTACATTAGATGAGTCACCCCGACTAACTGAATCAAAAACAATCGCTGTAATTGCTGTATCAAAGACCAAGAAAGAAAAATAACAGCAACATATAGATAGGATGCCTACTTCTGTATCCAAAAGTTACTGGTAAAATCCAACTCCCTTCAGAAATATCATTAATCTATGAATATGAATATAACAAATAACAAATACAATAATGTGAAATTCAGGGCTGTGCGAATCCAGAAATTTTGGTTCGAATCCGAATCCGAATCATAGCTGTAGAGATTTTATCGAATCCGAATATTTTAATTAATCCCGAGTCGAATCTGGGTCGAATCCGAATCTCAAATTTACAGCCATTATTGAACCTGGATCGAATCCGAATCTGAAATTTAAAGCTGTTATCGAATCCAAATATTTAAACCTGTTCAGAGTCGAATCCAAATCCGAGGAAAGTCAGCAGTACCAATTTTCACATTTTTAGACCATATTTTCTGGGGCTGAAATAACTTAGGGAATTGCTTAAAAAAATTCTTGAAATGGGCCAAATAAAAAAGTTATAAAATTTAGGCCTACCTAGTTGAAGTTTTGAAACTAAAAAATTGGGCATAAGTAAGGCATACCACCTAGGCCTAAGTTACTCGCTAAAAGTGATGGACTACCAATTTGTGTAGTCTAAAACATAGGCCCAGCCTATTATACACCTCGGTGTTAATCCTCCACACAAGCCTATGTCTGCATTACTATTACAAGTAACAACTAACACTGTGAGGTTAAGTTTACTGATAGCCAAGATAGGGTTCAAATGCGACCTACACTAATGTGCCTAAAACCTAACACCAAGTTGGTCAGGTTCCTAACATGAACCAGTCAACAGCAAATCGGAGTGCACAAGTAGTTTTTTAGTGTCTAAAAAATTATATTGAAAATTATATTTAATCAGTATCTAGTAAATTTGAATATCGAATCCCAACTCGGATCTATTTCCAAGAAATTCTAATATCGAATCCGAACCCGGATCTCTTACCAGTAAATTCGAATATCGATTCCGAATCCAGTTAGAAACAGTAGATTCGTTCTCGAATCCGAATCGAATCTCTAAAAAGATTCGGATTCGATTCGTTTTTCGAACTATTCGCACAGCCCTGGTGAAATTTGAACTTACCTTGAGTTTCGTCCTTAATTAAACATACTCCTAAGAAAACTTCTCATTCTGAATACATAGTGAACAAACCTTTCCAACTAAAAGCATACAATTTAATACATCTTTTGAAGACTTTAAGCTTTAAGTATCTAAAGGCTTAGAACAAATGTCTAAGAACAAAAAGTAGTTTTTATATTACTATGTGAATGATGGGATTCAAGTTATTACTTCAATGAATTATTCTTTTGAAAATTATAATTAATATTATGTTATATCATAGATAAAACCATTACATACTCCCTTTGTAGATTTCTCATCCTTATGGAACAGTTGAATACAGTTTTATTGTTAGTTCTGTACGGTGTACTGCAGAGGTCGTGTTTTGTTTACAATTTGTTTCTTGTTATTTCAGTCATTTAAAACCTCGTTTGACAAAAATAATACGATCTAATCATAAACAATAACTCGTCACCTAGTTATATAACCAAACAGAGCACTAATCAAGAAACTAACCCTAAAATAATAGAAACAAAATTTCGTCGACCCTAGTGTCACCGTACATGAACTAGACACGAAAAACGAGCTTCAAAATGTACAATGGGATGAGAAGTCTACTTGTGTTGGTTAGTCTATGGTGATATTTTATTAATTGGTTAACAAAACACATCAAACGTTTTAAAGCAACCTGCTACATATACACAATAGTTTATTGAGTTATAGATGTATTTTACTGCTTCAAGCTCAGCTTTCCCGACCAATTGTAGTACTGTGACATAGCAGCATGATTTTACTGCTTTACAACAAATTATTGTATTGTAATTTCAATATAGACCTCTTTTTTATCTGATTTTACATTTCATTTGCTGTTTTAGCTGGATTTTTTGTAGTTTTTAACAATTATCATACATTACTTACCTAGGTCTTAGTTTTATCACTTTATAGTTTTAATTGACAGTACACAATTAATTATTGTTCACACATCACTCATATTTTTACTTTCTAGTGTTGTTAGTTTCATGTTACTGTTGTGGATTGTTTTTACTACAAGGTTGTAAATAGTTGTACGTTTTCCCATTAAATCGTTTTCTATAAACCATAGATTTAATATTTTGTTCTACATCCCATGCGATTTTCTGGCTCCCTCTAGACTTGGTTAATTTTTTTTACCTTTTTGCCGTTTTTTTTCTTTTCTTATAAATTTAAGCTGTTTACTTAAGAAGATTGTGTTACTGATATTCTTTTTCTAATCAGAGCACTTTTCAGACTTATTCAGGGAATAGATGGATGAGAAAATCCATCTATTCTATGAAGAAGTCATATAAAGGAATATTATACCAGTGTTTTGGTGACTTTTTTAGTTTATTTCCCTTGACCCCTTGGTATATTTCCCTTTTGTATTTTTCTCAGGTAAAATGATTGAAATGTTCTTTGAAAAAACACTTCTCAAAGATTGTTAAACAGTTAAGTGAACCTTAGAGAAGCATTGTGATAGGCCAGGTCTAGATATATGTTTGAATGATTCCAAATCCCAAGAAAACAGTAAGAAGATTATTTTTTGTTTGATTTTCAACAGGTTTTTTTAACTGGCTTACAGCTGTTTGAAATTAAAATAATGCGATTAACATGCAGTTTACAATTCTGGTCAAATAATACACATAACACCATTTAGAATGAATTTGATTTATTACAAACACATTTAAAGTGAAATACATGGAATCATCTACCAGGTACAAAAGGATATTAGGAAAAGCTAAAATATATTTAATTTGTTCTATGCCTTGCTATAAATTTGTAACAGATGGACGGACATTTTTGATTGATGTCAATTTGTAAATTTAGCTAAAGCTAACATTATAAAACTATTTTGAAATAATTCAATTATTTCCATTGAAAGAAAGGTTACAAAATAATTTTATGAAATATTTAGCTACCCATGTTGTAAATTATTACAGTAAAAAGTAAAAACTACCATAAATGTTACGCCAAAAAGGCAAAAATGTTGAGTTTTTGTCTAAAATCCACTTATTGACTATTAACAAGTTCTCTAATAATACACAACTCATCAACTGATTATTCTTTTTGTTCTTGATCTTAATAATTATTCTTTCAACTAATCATATAGAATTCAGTCAATCACACAAATATAATGGTTTATCACACAAATAACAAATAAATAAAATATGCTTCATATGGACTTAAGGGAATGTCTACACTATCAAGGAATGTAGGCAAAGGTGGGTTTCTGAAATATATAAACACAACATTTTTTCACAAATCACAAACTGTTGTGTAAAAGGGACAAACAGCACACAAGCAAATAAAAATAGCTACTTCCCTATAGGGAAATTCGCTAACAGCAATTTACAAAATAATTGAATATTTTATGAGATAAATAGTGCATTCTGGGAACTTCGGAAAAACTGTGTTGTTCTTTGAAACAAGTGACTTTTTCTGTAGTTCATTTGTAACATGTAGGATTCATGTACCAATTTAAAAAGATTCATCAGCGGTTTCTGATTGGCTGATTCTTCAGGTCTACGGTCTACCCACGGAATTCTATACAATAAAGTGTTTATTCATTTATAAATATCTCCGTTGAACAGTGTTGCAAACAATATATAATGAAAATTTAGATTTTTATACAATGATGCACATGACATTCCATACTGCGAGGGATTTTAATTTTAAATACATGGGCTGGCAGCACTTACAAGCTAGTAAATACCATTGGCTTGGCCAAAACATTTTTTTTCTGAAAATGTTCACTTTGTCACTTGCAACGTTGTTCAGCGGAGTTGGTAAAAAAAGGCTTGTCTTCGTCTATTTCTAGAACAGCAATAGTGCGGAAGTACTTTCCAGGTAATAGATAGCCAGGTACCCAGTTTATAGCTTAGTACAAAATAATTCTTGATTTCACAATTTGTTCGGTAAAAATATCTCAAATCTTATTATACATATTTCTTATATTTTACAACTGATAACAAACCAGTGATGCATAAAATTAGAAAATCCATCAAAAGATCAACGTTATCTAACAAGGAGGTGGGTTCCACAAAAAAACAACATAAAAATGCCAATGCTTATTGATAACAAAAAAAAATTAACTTTTGTTCGATAGGCAAACACATAATGCAAATTACAATTTTAACAAATTAATACTGATACAAACTAAATAATTGTTCTTTTTACATTTTGTTCTTTTATTCTTATGTTATTTTAACATAACAAAAACTAAAAACCTAGCAATTAAAATAATAAAATGACACTTGGAAATAATAAAAGGATATGGAATGGAGTTAAGGACAGTTTGACTAGTAGGACTAGTGTGATAGCGTCACAGCTTCCAGCGTAGAGGCTCGATGATATATGACTTGTACCTGGAGCAGAAGATGGGTTATTAATACTCAGAAAGTAAAATAGTTTTAAATACACCTTACAAACTTCAGCTGCTCCAAGCATTGAAACAAAATGACAAAGTTTTAAGACTTTCTTTTTGTGAGAGCATGCAGACCTTAATGGAAAATGAAAACTTTGCAAAACTGTTAGTCTTTAGCGATGAAGCAACATTCCACTTGTGTGGTAAAGTGAACAGACATAATGTGAGAATATGGGGCTCAGAGAACCCGCACGCTTACATTGAGCACGTGCGCAATTCTCCGAAAGTCAATGTGTTTTGTGCTGTCGCCTACAATAAAGTGTACGGGCCTTTTTTCTTTATTGAAGAAACGATAAATGGACTAATTTTTTTGGACATGATGACAGAATGGCTTCTACCTCAACTAGAACAAGATTTAGAAAATTTCATTCTGCAGTTAGACGGCGCACCTCCACATTACCACTTGGATGTTAGGACTGAACTCAACAATCAGCTGCCTGAGAGATGGATCGGGCGCGCTGGTCCAAATGATGGCGCACTCTTGAACTGGCCTCCAAGATCTCCGGATATCACTCCCTGTGATTTTTTTTTATGGGGCTACATCAAAGACAGAGTGTACACACCACCATTACCAGAAAGCATAATCGAAATCCAGCAAAGGATCACTAATGCCATCGAATCAATTGATCAAGACACTCTTACCAAAGTGTGGCGAGAGTACAGGATTGATATCTGTTGTGTCACCAGGGGTTCCCATATCGAACATTTATAATTTTGAGTATCTGTAATAAAACTTTTTGAGTTTTTCTTAAAATGTAACCATTTTTTATTTTAGTATGATAAATAAAACCAGGTTTATAGACACTTGAAATCGGGAACTTCATTTGTAATAACCCTGTATAATAAAATAGTACCGGGGGACAGAGCCATGGCTCAATTTTTTTATTCACAGTTTTAATGGAATCGTGGTAGGCTACTTACTAGAATTGAAAAAATATTAAATATATTTTCTGGCGTTTCTATGTCCATACTTCGTCACGTACAATAATATAATTATGGGAGAGAGCGGTACCATTGACTATTAGATACAGAAGGCGGCACGCATTTGTATGTTGTACGTCAAACTACTGCCCTACTTCAGTGTGAACTGCAAAGTAGGATTTTTTTGGTGGGAAGGTTGGCAGCAGTCAACAGTGACAGTAGCTGGTGACTCACTGGCTACCAGACCGAGTAGCCAGTTCAGCAGCCAGAATTTTTCTAGTTTTATAGCCAGTGGCGACGGGGCTCAGTAGTCAGTCGGTCGCCAAAGTATGGCTACGTCGCTGGCTACCTTCATGTAATAACATCTATAAGAATCAATGCCCCATGACAGACTGAGTAGCCAGTTCAGTAGCTGGCGACATTGCCAGGCTACCTCGTGTAATAAGGGACTTATCGTCTGTGTTTACATTACCACTGTTTTTAAATGTCTTTGAAAATTAAATTGATTATGAAGTTTTTATTCATTTTCGGTTGTTATTGATCTTAATAGACAATAGACCTACAGGTAGTGCGCTAAAGAGTCGGCCTCTTCATTGCACTACGGTATAAAACAGCCAACTTGTTAAACAATTATTACCATACTGTTTTACCGGTTCAAACTATACATACTATTATGTATATCTTACTGAAGATAATGCTTCAAACAACTTTTAGTTATAGGCCTATGTCTATTTTTCGTAAGTAAGTTGACTTTTTAAGGAATCTTCAGTAATGCGCTTGAAGAATTTTGGTGTCAAATTAAAGGTACAGGCTATAACTGTTCTCTAGGGAAATATAATATAATAAACAAGTATGGATTTTTAACTTATTTTTCCAACCTTTAGTTGTTTAACCTATACACATCTAAGTATTAAATTAAAGCTCTTTACCCCATGGCATTCAAAACTCACATTTATCGGTGTTAATTCTATTCTGAAATCACTTAATTGTTTTTCGAGTTTGACAAATATATCTAAATGAACAAAAAATGTACTTGCTCTCACCTCACGGATGCTTGTACAGAGGGGACGTCCGATGACGAGAGCGCCAGTACGTTACACAGTACGGCCCAGCAGCCAGTAGTACCACAACAAACATCAGAGCCAGGACGTAGGACCACAGGACCCAGAACCTTGAAGGTAGCCATAACACATGGTAGCACCAAGCCTCACCCCTCTCATCTGGCCAACGACAAGTTAATGTAAAAATGTGTCCTAGACCACAACAAATTTTGTTATGGTAAAAGTATTATTTTTTTACAAACTTTCAGTTCTAGGGTCTATATTCCTCTTTGGCTTTGGATTGAGTACGAGCAGTGTTTCCACACGACCAAAACCAAAATCCCACTTACCAGGTCGAGAATATCCCGTTTTACCCCGCTTAAATATAGTGAAATGTCCTGTTTTAGTCCACATGGACTGTCCCTATCTAAAGTAAACTTTTTGACATATCATGTTTAAACAACTTCTTAAATCTTACTACCCTGGGTAAAAAGATAAAATTCTGGGTACGGAAAAACTGGGAAGAAGCTTTGATAGGTGTTGAGTATAACAACCAAACAACCTGTCACAGCACTTTTTGAGTTATTGAGATGGTGTTTAGTATAGGTTTTAGGTTGGGAGAATTAAGGGACACAGAACTTTTCGGGCCAAGAGGAAGTTTCGGTAACATTAAGATTTTGAGGTTCAGTTGGTTGAGATTTTGGAGTAAGAGTAAATGTATGGAAGGGAGAAGAAGTCTTCACAATTTCAGGTATAGGGATGTAAGGTGGTAAGTAATATGCAAAGCCAATTTTAATTATATTTGTAAACAAACGATTAAGTTCCATATGATCTTTTCCACATTGTGACAAACCCTTTGTTTCAGTTATTTCCACGATGAAAGCAAAGATTGTAAAACCATTTACGTAAACTATCATTGGTAACTTGATTTCATATACTACAAGTCACCCTCTCTTTAACCTCAACCAACAAAAAGTCCAAAAGTCAAAGCTATCAACTCATTATTAAGACTTGCGTACCTACGAGAGCTACTCCAAAGCCCATGTCTGGGACGCCCATCCTGTAGGAACAAGTTGGCACTACGACCTCATTGACTAGAGTGTCCGATCTTTGGAACCTCCACGACGAGCTTGGCTGTAAAATTATTACTTAAACATTATAGAGAAAGTACCTTCGGTGCTTGATTCACAAAAGCTACATGAAAAATGTACTTATTTAGTAACATAGTTGTACAAGCACGAAAGAGAAAGTAAATTTAGATTCAAAATAGCTACGTGAAAATGAAAAATAGTTTAAAAGGAAGAGAAAATGCAAATTAGAGCGCATCTTGTGAATGCAGTTTGCTTGAATATGGTCTCAGTTTCAATTTTAAAAAGCTTCTTTTTTCTCTCAATTCAATAAACATAATATCTTTGAGCTTCTGACGTACATTGATGAAGACGTTGTGAGAAGGACACCAAGTTTCAAATTACATTACAACAGAAAATAATAATCCTTTAGTGTTAGTCAAAGGTTTTACATACTATAGATGTATACACACGCTTACTTCATTGACAAAAACATTTTTATTAAATTACTAATTTCCACTGCACAGTACCACTTCAAACCAAATCTGAACAAGATAAACAGTGCAGAAACTGAGTGTGGGAACAACTTGCCGCCTCGTACGGATAGTTCTGTATAATAACATATTTGTCGCTGCATTCTGAAAACGCTCATGGACTTGTTGCTCATGGATTGCAGGTTGCTTGTTGTGGTTGTCTTTATTTAATTTAATGTTTAATTTAGCTAAGAATATACCGCTTAGTTTGCCAAGTGTGGTCGTAGCCAAAGACTAAACTGTACTGCTACTGACTACTAGCATAGACTAAGGAACACAAGTAGATTCCTCATCCCATTAAAAATTTGAAGCGAGTTTTTGGTGTCTAGTTCATGTACCTCGACACTGATCACTAGTGTAGACGTAATTTTGTTTATATTATTTTAGGGTTATTTTCATGATTTGTGCTTTGCTGTTTGGTTATATAACTAAGAGACCAGTTATTGTTTATGATTAGATCGTTTTATATGGTTAAACGAGGTTTTAAATGACTGAAATAACAAGAAAGACATTGTAAACAAAACACGACCTCTACAGTGTGACATACAGAACTAACAATAAAATTGGGTTTGGCTGTTCCATAAGGATGACAAATCTACTAAGGGAGTATGTTACCTCGTCACTTAGTCTGTTGATGTCCAGGTTCTCCACCAGTCGTCGCTCCCCGGTGTCAATATCTCCACTGAAGTGAACGGACTTGTGGTCATGAGCAGACAGGATCACATGAGGTCTCAACCTTTGTAGTACCTACCAACAACACATTTATGAAACCCCTTTCATGAAACCTCCTGAAGTTGCCTAAACAACTTTTAACACAAAAATTACCTTTGCCGCCTGTGTTAATTTGTCTCCATTATAATGTCTAAAATATGAAAATCTTTTTTCACAAATCTAAATGCAAGGTACCAACTCTTATCTAGCCACTGACTTCTCTTCTATGAAGGCTAAACAATCCATTGGGAAGTAACATAAAAGGGTAAGCAATAACTGTTACTTTTAACCTAAAACTACTTTTTTAAGAAGTCGATGGCCTCTCTCAACTTTGCATTTGCCTTTCCAAATAGGCCTAGAGCCTGTGCATGAACATATCCAGCAAAGCAACGGGCGAGCAGGTACAAGACAAGGGTGAACTGTATTGATAAAAGTAGTGGTAGATACCAGGATGTCCAGATTCCAAACCCTCGACATCGCTGTCTTAAGCTCGAAGACCGTGGTGCTACTGACTAAGCCACCGACTCACCACAGCTACCTGACAAATTTTCTGTCATTCCTAATTTCAACTTTATTGTTGTCAACATTGTAAACTATTTGTGCATGTCAAGCTAATAACTGTATTTACATGAGTCGAGTACATATTCTGACCTCGGCTGCGAAGGCGCTAGGTACACCAAGCAGAGGCATGTGTGAGATAACCACTCTCGTCATATTGTCCCCGGCAGCCAAGGGAGGCAAGGGCGGTACAATCCTCTGCATTTTGTTCACCTGAATAATAAACCATTATGATCATCTGGGTCTACTGCACTATACTTCGTTCATAATATTTAGGCGGTTTTAGGGGAAGATCGATCCCTCCACACTTGACCCTTACCTTAAAAATAATTGCTCAACAGCTGATTAAGCAACATACATTAAATTAAATACAAAAAAAGTCGTGGGGAATCTTCCCCTCAAATCGCCTAAATATTGAGAACAAAGTATAGTGTCATTCTTCACAGCAACTACTGTGCTTACGATAGGGCTGTATGTGTTTTTTTTTTCTTTTGAATCTATGGTTGGATGGATTTAAGATTGGTTAAAATACTGAATTGAAGGAGTGAGTAAAAAGACGATTGACACTAACATTCAGAAAAACTACTGTAGCCATTGTATAGCAACATTTCCGTAAAGATCTTTATATATGTAGGCATATCGATTTTAAAAGTTTTTGCCATACACAAAAGTTTAAAAAATGTTACAGGATACATGAAATGTAAGCTCATTTGAAGTGCAGTAGACAATCTCTTGTTTAAATCCTTTTGGTTTAGACTTTAGATTGTATTAATAACAGCATTATGTATTTCGTGATGATTGTTAATGCATTGTAAAAGTCCACAACAATAAATTATTTTGATTCGATTGATTTGATTTGATTTTACACCCACTTTTGAATGATTCTAACACACACACCCTGCTAAATCTATAGCCACAAACTTACTTATTATTTGTCTACAGTTTTCAGAGCTTAGAGATGTTAACGTTGTATTCCTTTAATGTTGAACACTTTAGTAATTACTAAATCTGCACACATAATGTTTTGAAACATACACTTTCATTTTTCAGATTCATGATTTTTTAGTTCTGACAAGTATCTCATCCCAAGGTATCTGAACGACAGGGAGTTCATTAAATGTAATTTAAGCTATAGGCCATAGTATTTGTAACCTCACTCAATAATTTGTACTCCATGTTTTATAGATGTACAATTTATGAGTAAAGTGTGATCTTACATCAGCAGTACCAACATTACCTGAACAATCTGTACATTTCCTACATGGACGACCGAGGGAGAGGCAAAGTGCTCCATGAACCTGGCCACCTTCTTGTCTGTGACGATCTCGTCTTCTCCTCCAATGTCGTTGTCTCCAGGGATGAACACAGTCTAGCCAACACACATTAGCTTCAGAGATACACAATGAACAGTCTAGCCAACACAACATTACCTGTGGTCATAGCCTTCTCTAATACAAGGCTGCGGTGAAATAAAAATGGCAACACTGCTGTCCCGTCAAACCAAAACAGCTGTTGCACTAATTTATAATGGAGCATTGGCAATGTGTATGTTTACACTTTTGTTATTTCTGTTGTTACCATGGCAATAGGCATGACGTTGATGTTGCCACACACCATCACTGTGCCCTTGTATTGGAGGAGGCTATGCTTTGGTGCTACATTTAACCATCTCGATACATATCGGTAAAGAATATGGATTTCACTTTACTAAGACAGCAGCATATTTTGTATGAACCTATGTATTTTAAATATGAATGTAGAATGGATTGAGATCTGTTGTTTTGATACTGATTAAGATCAGCTGTTTTTTAGCCAGGATTATTTATTGTCAAATAATCAAGAACAGCTGATTCCTGTTCCAAACCATTCATAAGCTACTGCCTTTTCATCAAGTATCAAGTAGGTTTTTTGTTGTTGTTTTTTGTTTTTTTTATGATAATAAGGTGTACATACTTCTTTACCAAGTTAGTGGTTGGATCTGTTATTATGCCAAATGGGGTTTTTCCCATAATTATTAGGTAAGATACAATATCTGAACGATTTTAATCCAGTTTCATTGACAATCCGGAGTTAAATTGATTAATGGATCACCAGCTTGAGAAAGAATTGATGGATGAGGCCAACTTCAAAATAAATGATCATGTAAACTTTAACGGATGGATCGGGCATATTCTTTTACGGAGCTTTACCATACGCCCACCAAACGGGTTTGTTTGATAATTTGGCTTTTTGTACATGAGAGAAATGAAAAACTATACATGATCAAATCAGCAGACAATATTATTGGATCCAAAAGAGATAATTTCATGATTTAAAAGCCCAATTTAACAAAGCCTAATTATTTATCTTTGGCCAATGGCAATCAAAGGGTTTTTAAAACAATACAATTTGTACAGGTATAGGAGACAACATTATTAGTAGTTAAAAGGACAAAATATTTCAGTCATCAAATCCAATGCACAAGGAAAAGAGAGATTGATGTATTTTTAACTCTAATAATAACAATTGCTTTAACTTCATCTAGGATATTATTTCAAGTTTCCAATATGAAATCAGAATTTCTTTAGGAGCTACAAATTGTGCCATGACATAATTGATTACCCATTATAGTATCTAATCTTTGGTAAATAAGTCAGGTCTAATAAAGAATTATCTTATCAGTGTTAATATAGGTGTTACAGAGGATTATAATTGGATCAACAAAAATCTGATAGGTACACAAAATACCTTTTACCTATTGATGACAGAATTTTTTAGTCAGGCTATGTCCATTTATTTTACTTTAACACAATATGTCCGTTTTTACCCAGATAAAAGCACACATTGAAAAATCTATGTCCTCCTCCTCTATAGGACTTAGGACTACTAATGTAAAAAGAAGCAAAACAGGTGTTGTAAGTGTGAAATCCTTACTAAACTCACTAATGCCATCAACCACCCCCGGACATATTTAAATTTCAAATAACTTCTTGATCAGCATCGTACGTATTATTAAATTTACGGAAAGTAAATAAAGAAACGTCTTATAACACTTATTGACACTTTTTAAGTGTTATAAGACGTTTCTTTGTTTACTTTCCGTATATTTTATTTCCCTGGTATATTAATTCAAAAATAGTGACCTTTTCATGAGACAACCTATACTTAACACATTCGCTACTGTCATTGCCACAGACCGAGGTATACATTTGAATCTTACACACAGACCGGCTGTCACTTGGATAACAGTACACACAGACCACGGGCGAAAACCTGTAAAACAGTGATCATTTACATTGTAATACGCTACAATCGTGTTTGTATATAAATTATTCTTGTTTTTTGTATTTTTTGTAACCTTTAGTAATGTCGCATATTTGCGACGCCCGGTCTACAGCGAAGACAATAGTGAAAATTATCATAGTTTTCTTGAAATAGACTAAGCGTCGCATATATGCGACAGTTCATTTTTTTGTGTTTTAAGGTGAAAGTAAGTAAAAAAATAAACAGATTATTCAAGAACAGTTTATAACTGAACAAATATAAAAGCTACATAGGATAATGCAGCATACGTACTGCATACATACATACAGTGATGCAGAAAAGTAAAAGCCAGTTTTTCCAACTGTTATATGACGTCACCAATCATCATATCCACAGACCAAGCGACGCAGTTGTGCGTCAGACATCTCTGTAGACCACTGCAGGGAATTCAGTGCCTTCAAATAGACCACTACAAAGATATAAGCATTTTAATAACATTAGAACCCCGACGCAAATATGCGTCGGCAGTCTATTTTAATGTGACTAGCCGTCGCATTCTATGGGTGGAGACCGGCCGTCGCATATGTGCGTCGCTGGTCCATGTGAATGGAAAATTTCGTACTATTGCAGTAGCGAACGTGTTAAATAAGCCCGTGAGAAAAATAGCATTTATGTTTTACATATGTATACACTGACAAGGAAAATATCCTACCTTATTATCATCGATGTAATCCAAGTGGAAAATATCTCTGAACCTGTCATAGTATCTTTGGTATTCTTCGTTGGTTGCTGCAGTACCCTCATCCATGAGGTCTCCAAGAAAGATGATCGTATTAGGCTTAACGTGATGTTTGGCAAGAGCAAACGACAGCTTCAAGTACCTGCAAAGTAAAATAGTAATAATTAGTTTATTCAAATTTGTTTTTTAAAGTACTTTACCCTGTGAGGTATCGAGTTGGTCTAGTAGTAAAAGAGTGGGACTTTAGTTCCTGATGTCCTAAGTTCAAATCCCACCAATCACCGATGGATTTTGTCAAAGTGATAATGCGGCAACTCTGTAGGTCTCGACTGAGGATTACCACATTGGTGTAAAACGGTTAATCATATTCATTTGAGATGGGGACGTGCATATTTTGAATGAAATATGACTGAAAGATGAGTGAAGAATGGAATGTGATGCCTTGTGTAGCTTCGTTGCTGACTAAAATCAGCTGTTTCATTAGTCACGGCCATTTATTGAAAGCCCAATGATCAAGGACAGCTGGGTCCAGTTTTGAACCATCAAAAGGCTACAAACTTTTCTCAGGATCGAACCAGCAACCTTTTGATTACGGTACTAGGCGAACACAGTAACCTCTGTGCTACTGATCTGTATGTAGCTGTACTGAGGTTTCAGACTAGAGCCTACGTCCCAGGATGTGAAGGTGGGGCAAAAAAGTAATTATCCTGTACAAAAACACTTTACAAAACTCAAAGTCCTTAACTCAAATATTTTATAGGCTAACTTAGTTAGTTGTAAGAAACTGCAAAAATATGGTTGCTATGTTTGGGTTTGACAAAATACACCATGCGACTAGAATATCATAAACAAACCCTCATAACCATGTAAAATGTCTGTAGGGCTTAAAATTAGTCTGGAAAGAAGAACCTATAAAAAAATAGTTTTTAGTGCAAGTACAAAACTTGATTAGTGAGTTTTTTGTTTGTTTTCACTTTGAGAATTAAACTTCTGATGATTTTTAACTTGTTTTTAATTAAAATTTATTAATCAACGTGTTTGTTGAACATTGGCTATCAGAACTCTTAACATGGACTGATAGTTAAGTATTGCTATCTTCATACAGGATTACATTTCTATTGTATTTGATTAAAACTAAGTGCATCGTACGTAACATGGTACGTTCATAAAATGTTTAGCTAAAAATGTCTTACTCAAACCAAAATAAGAAATAAGAAATCCTAGATTTGATGTCCTTAGTCTACTTCTTCAATATTTTATAGTAGTATAATTTTAAGGTACATAACACCTACCTGTCATTGTCCCACCTAGTAAACCATGGTTCTGACTTCTCGCCCAAAATTTGTGGATCAGCGACTAATAATAATGAGCGTAATCGTTTTATATCTCCACATCTCATTTCCGGCCATGTAAAAGACTTGATTATGTATATAGCAAATTCATTAAAAATTATAAATCCACATAATATTAATATTGTTATGTGAAGTATATTTCGACGATGAGAGAAAAAGTGGGCTTTCCTGGCCAAACAATTGTAGGAGCATGGTTTTATCATTGAAGGTTCATTCGGTCAGCAGCCTGAAAAAAAACATATTTAACTAGGGTATTGATCAAACTTCCAGAATAAATCAGATCATGAATTGTTTGCAAAATATTCGCTAATGAGCTAAAGTAAGGTTAAAGTCTTGGGTCCTTTCTCAACTATTCACTACCACCACTTATTCTTAAACTGTTAGATCAATCACTAGTAGGTAGTTTGACGGGGTCTGGAATATTAGATAACAGGTAGACACTATTTGTTTACCTTACTCGTTTATTGCTTGGGAAGAGTAAACTGGATCCCTGTTCTCTAGTTATCACCAATAAGAACAATTCAGTTCATTTTATAGGCCTAAACTGTTAAATAAAATAACCAATGAACCACACACCCAATGTTTTGTTTGATGTTGTCCTCTTCATGGGAACATAACCTTAAGTTAGATAGAGGCTATGATTTCTGTCTTGGTTAGGTTTCGTGTGCATCTCATAAAAAGTTCACGTTTCTATCGCACAGAGCTTGGTTGGGGAGGTCCACCTAAAATAACCGGGGCTCAGATGATAAACGTTTACGCGCAGGGCGGTTTCCTTTTAGGCCCAAGTTGCACAAATCAGCCATTTTACTGTTTTCTAATCCTTAAAAGAATAATGATGCATTCAAACGACAAGGAAAACTATGATAAAAATAATACCTTGTTGACAAAATAATTATATTTGGAGTTCAAGAGGTTTTAAGCAACAATATGAACATTAAAGATTTGCCTAGCTATACTTAATTAGCAGACCAGAAATCGCCTTCCTTGTAAGAGTGTGATTTTATAATAGGCCTGTTGGAGATATGACTTTGATTAACAACTATACCAGTTAACCCAATTGCTAGATGTAGATTATAGATTAGGCTTGTTATGTTAATTGTTTGGTGGTTAGGCTACACTATACTATACTATACTGTATAACTTATAGTCGGAGTATGATATTTAAGATTTATAGGAGCTTGGGGCAAGAGTGCACACTTAACGTTAAAAACCCCCAAACAAATAGGTCAAATGATTAACAATCTAAACAAAACTAAGTTAACAATCCAATGTTAGTTAATAACCAAACTAAATTTTATTTTTACAATCATCATTAATGTATCATTTAACAAATAATAATGTTAAGAAAAGTTATATTTGCAAACTCTTGCCCTGCAGGTGGGGCAAGAGTTTCGTATTGGGGCAAAAGGACGCACATTGTTTGAAAAATCTAGCAAGACCTAATGAAACAGATTTTATAAGTACTTAAACACTTATCTACTTATGCTACAAAACAACTTAGGTTTAGCATGTTCTTAGTGAAAAGTTCTTTTTAGCAGTAATCACAAGTGAATTTGCTCCCATCATCATACTTTGAACAAAGGGCATACACTTGCATGAAGTGCATTGAATACAGCCCTCCTCTGGCGGTTCCTCTGGACAGATAATTTTGGTAACCTACTTGATGTCCTTAGTTGTTGAATTTTTGTTTAAATTAACTTACCTTTGGAATTTTTCAATGAGGAGTGAACACTGAAATAACATGTTTGGGCATGCGAACTCTTGCCCCAACGGCAATGTGAACTCTTACGCCCCATTCAAAGTTTTTACATGTAATGAGCTGCTGCTTGCTGTGTCCATTACTGGAACTAAACTAACACGGCTATAAGTAGAGCGTTAAATGACCATTTAAACTATGTACGATTGAAACTATTGAATTAATTATTGGAGTACCTACCTAACGTATACTAATTCCCAAATAGGTACTTTATTATTATTCGGAGGCCACCCTTATACAGCGCGCTGCGGCGGTTATGTTAGGTTGGGTTATCATAAATAAATATGTTTGTAGGACTTTCCTTATTTCATTATGAATCAAGCAGTACCAGATGAGTCATACTTTCGCTCACCAAATCCCCTCCAGGTACGCCAAGGTGAGGTCGTTGACCGGAGTGCGCGCATCACCTGTCATTGCCTGTATCTGGTGTGGTATCTAGAGGCGGCGACTCATTCAACGCAATCCTCACCGACATCGCTGCCTTCTGGAAGGCAGGACTCAAAGGCCGCTAATTGTAATCATGTCAAATTTGGACATTAAGTCAATTAAAGTATGTTCTTTCCATTTACAATTTAACCCAACCTAACATAACCACCACTGCACACTGTATAAGGGTGGCCTCCGGATAACACCAAAGTAAGTTTACCCCCAAATACTTAAATATAAGATCAAAATAAGGGTAAAAATATATTAGGCCTTTTTTACCTACCTTATTATGAGATGAATAAACAGAGAGGAACCATCAAACTACGGAGGAATGGTGAGGGAAACTTACTGTCTTGCTCCGGATGAGACTTGGTGGTACCAACTTGCTCAAGCGCAAAATTTCCGTTTTGCGTACAATTACCCTGTGCGCACTCTTGCCCCGAGTTAAGCCTAGGTACTCTATATCTTAGAACTAAACATAAAACCCCTTAAACTACCACAGATAGGCCTAGGGCCAAGGGAGGTGGAATGATGTCTAAGCCTATTTAACCTAGATGCCTACATTTCATAAGGCTGATTAGGATGTAGAGGCCTATGTTACTAAATTCAAGATAAAAGTGAATTGTGGCAAGGTAAAATCACTGTATAACATGATAGGAGTGCAATCGATTAAGTGGTAAGACATTCCTTCTGGAACAAACTAGGCCTAACCTCAAAAGTGTCATTTTAGCTGTAAATCAAACTTACCACAGCAATTAATTTTCATTAAACTGGTGTCAGTCACTTAAGCGTATACAATTTTTTTTACTAGCTCACCTGTCTTTATGTATTTTTTTAGTTATTCACAATCACACTGATGCTAACACTAACCTTGTTCACTGATGTCTTCAATAAATAATAAATAATAAAGTTAGTAAAAAGCTCCTTAGCTCAGTCGAGTCGAGTCAAGCTTTATCATCATTCGTCCATCCATTCCATGGCATTTTTTTTCTTCTAAATTTCCTTTCGTCTGCTCTCTGCTGGTTAATTAAATTATTTGTTTTGATTCCATCTCTACCTTGCTGGATAAGGCATTTTGATCTTTTTAGGTCTTCTATGTAGCTGTGCAGTTCTTATGGAGAAGCTTGTAAAGTGACAGCATTGATTTTTATGGCTACCTTCACTATAGATTTATAGTCACGTTTATTGTCCCCCATTAATTAAAAGTGCTTAAATTGATATACATATACTATCATATTAATTAATTAGCAAACTCTTTACGGCCTCTGTGGGACATCAAAATGAAAAAGTATATCGGTCCTGGGTCTAGGATCAGGGTCTAGGGTCACTATGGATTTATAGTCACGTGTATTGTCCCCCCTTTAATTAAAAGTGCTTAAATTGATATACATATACTATCATATTAATTAATCAGCAAACTCTCTACGGCCTCTGTGTGACATCAAAATGAAAAAGTATATCGGTCCTGGGTCTAGAGGACCATGCCACCTACAGTAATAGCATAGAATAGACTAACCAACACAAGGGGTATGTTTTATCTATGGTAATGGTAATAGCTACTTTCCTATAGAAAGATTTACTAAGAAAATGAAAAAAATCTGATTACGATTAAAACACAGAACGTTAGTAGGTACGTTATAGGGAGTATGTTTTATCTACGGTTATAGTATAGCAGCCTCTCGGAGGATTTTATGGTTTTAATCCTTAAAATGCTCGAATGCACGTTGCTAATTAAGATTCAAAAGTTATTGCAGCATTTTTTATTTCCCCCAAAAAATATTAGTTACTCCTACCATAGACAAAATGAACTTCTTTTTGTCTATGCTCCTACGCCTCTTATCCATGATAAGGTTGAAGACAATTAATTGATAATAGGACGAAGTATGTGTCAAATTAATTGCTGATAGTTTTTTTTAGTTTTTTTTTTATATATCTGTTATCCATATTTCATCTTCCATTTTCAGAAGAGGAAGGTCTCTGACTGTGACAACAGCACTTTTGTCATATAACTTGTTGTTTAGTTTCTTATCATATTGTCATTTACCTGAAACACTGGGAGGAATATTTTATCCATAATAATGCATCAATATTACACCTCTTCCTTTTAGAGAATTTCCCTATAGGGAAGTAGCTATTACCGTAGGTGGTACAAGAAATTTGGTTTAAAGGTGTAAGGCGGGAAACTTGAATGAGTTCGCAAACCAGCATGATCGGACAATGGAAACGGGGTTTTACAATGGGTTTTACGGGGTAAAATGGGCTTTCTCATTTTTGACCCTCAAAACACAAAATTTCCCAGTTTCTCTCTACACCTTTTTAAAGAGCTTAAAAAACAAATAATTTAGTGTATCAAAGTGTTTTTTACGGTAATTGGAAGCGGAGAATGTTCAAAATTTTAAATTCCCACGTTTTTCTTATAGACAATATTGTAGTTTGCTTGTTTATGGATATATTTTGATCAAACTTGGTAATTTAATTTTATTTTTGTATACTAAGCTATTAATATTTTACTAAAAAACATACTTTATTAGTTTCCTTGTAGCAGCAAACTTAGGTACTGGTTAAACCTAATGTTATTTAAATAGATTTGATTGAAAATCAATTTAGACAAATGAAAATTCGCTTAGTCGGCAGGTTGCTGCAGCGGGAGTATTCTACTGATACTTTATGAAACCAACCAATCAAACTATATATTTTCCAAAATGTCAAGTAATGCTACTAAACTGATTCTGCAAGTACTGCAAAATCATTTCTTAAATATATACCTCTATAAATTATGTTCCTGTTTTTCAACCTTAAGACAAAACAGACAAAAACTGCGGTATTAACAGAAACAGTGGGTTGTGTGGAGAATCATTACCTGCCACCGCCACCCCAAACCCCATGAAACTACTTATCCATCTTAACATGCAGTACACCTTGAATTCCACTGGTAGGGTAACATTGTCTAGCACAATTTTTGCCAAACAAAATAATCTAATCTCTGATTAGAACGATCCTATATTGCACAGAGTGTAGATCAATGCATAACCTGATTCCTCTAGATTCTGGAATGCATCATCATGAGTCTCCTGAAATGTGCCATAAGCTTGACTTCAGGTAGCCTATGTTAAGTTTCTTTATTCTTATTAATTACCTTTACTTATTCAGAATCAGATGAGTCATTAAAAGTGTGAAGTGGTATTGATTAGATTTTAATCTTGGTTAATTGAGCTTCAAGTTCTTGCTCCATAATGCACATTGCCCATAATGTAACTTTTCAGAAAATTACCAACCTTCAGGTTTATGTTTTAATACCATTTCATGTACATCTAGTAAGGCTCAAATGCAAATGTAAAGTATCAAACCACGTTGACCAACCCCAACAGCATTTTTAAGTCTGTCTTCAAAAATTTACACAAATATCCTTATTACATTATTTTAATAACTATATACAGTAACTGCTTTCTGGGTTTTAATTACCAGAAAAACAAAGCATTTAAAATACAAAATTCTCAGGATATCTTAAATTCTTGACAGTTCGGTGCAAATTTGAAAACTGGACACTTTCAATAGTCACCAATAAAACTATTGGGAATAAGGTATTTAGGGAAAATATTAGAAAAACAAAAATTTGTAATATCATCATTTATTACTTGAAATCATTATTATACTAGTTTATCACAGAATTGAAAATAAAAATTTAAGCGATAGAAAAAGTAAAAAATTGAACAATGCATATTTTTACTTGAATACTTGTCTAGCATCTACCAAGGAATAGTAAAATGGAAAGAAATGTAGTATCACTTAAGATTTTTCAGGAATAAGTCATTTACAGGCCTCCTCTGAGTCGCAAGACCAAATGGAGAGTAGACTCCTTCTGGATGTTGTAGTCTGACAGGGTTCGACCATCTTCCAACTGCTTTCCGGCGAAGATCAGTCGCTGCTGGTCTGGGGGGATACCTTCCTTGTCTTGGATCTTAGCTTTGACATTCTCGATGGTGTCTGAGGGCTCAACTTCCAGGGTGATGGTCTTTCCTGTCAGGGTCTTGACGAATATTTGCATTCCTCCTCTGAGTCGCAGGACCAAGTGGAGGGTGGATTCCTTCTGGATGTTGTAGTCAGACAAGGTTCGGCCATCTTCCAACTGCTTTCCGGCGAAGATCAGTCGCTGCTGGTCTGGGGGGATACCTTCCTTGTCTTGGATCTTAGCTTTGACATTCTCGATGGTGTCTGAGGGCTCAACTTCCAGGGTGATGGTCTTTCCTGTCAGGGTCTTGACGAATATTTGCATTCCTCCTCTGAGTCGCAAGACCAAGTGGAGGGTGGATTCCTTCTGGATGTTGTAGTCAGACAAGGTTCGGCCATCTTCCAACTGCTTTCCGGCGAAGATCAGTCGCTGCTGGTCTGGGGGGATACCTTCCTTGTCTTGGATCTTAGCTTTGACATTCTCGATGGTGTCTGAGGGCTCAACTTCCAGGGTGATGGTCTTTCCTGTCAGGGTCTTGACGAATATTTGCATTCCTCCTCTGAGTCGCAGGACCAAGTGGAGGGTGGATTCCTTCTGGATGTTGTAGTCAGACAAGGTTCGGCCATCTTCCAACTGCTTTCCGGCGAAGATCAGTCGCTGCTGGTCTGGAGGGATACCTTCCTTGTCTTGGATCTTAGCTTTGACATTCTCGATGGTGTCTGAGGGCTCAACTTCCAGGGTGATGGTCTTTCCTGTCAGGGTCTTGACGAATATTTGCATTCCTCCTCTGAGTCGCAAGACCAAGTGGAGGGTGGATTCCTTCTGGATGTTGTAGTCAGACAAGGTTCGGCCATCTTCCAACTGCTTTCCGGCGAAGATCAGTCGCTGCTGGTCTGGGGGGATACCTTCCTTGTCTTGGATCTTAGCTTTGACATTCTCGATGGTGTCTGAGGGCTCAACTTCCAGGGTGATGGTCTTTCCTGTCAGGGTCTTGACGAAGATTTGCATTCCTCCTCTGAGTCGCAGGACCAAGTGGAGGGTGGATTCCTTCTGGATGTTGTAGTCAGACAAGGTTCGGCCATCTTCCAGCTGCTTTCCGGCAAAGATCAGTCGCTGCTGGTCTGGAGGGATACCTTCCTTGTCTTGGATCTTAGCTTTGACATTCTCGATGGTGTCTGAGGGTTCAACTTCCAGGGTGATGGTCTTTCCTGTCAGGGTCTTGACGAATATTTGCATTCCTCCTCTGAGTCGCAAGACCAGATGGAGAGTGGATTCTGTAAAACAACAAATGATCAGTAAATAGGACTCGTTTATATTTTTGATCAAGGGGGTACTGCAATTAAAATAAATAGTCGGATTAAAGCTTTTAAATTTACATCTTACTTACTTTGTGGGATACTAAGGGGCGGTTCACGAGCTCGGTACTTCATAGTCCGCGACCAGACGTTGGTCCCGGACTATATAAGCGACGACCAAAAAATGGGTTCACGAGTCAGAGCCTAATGATGTGAAAGCCGGGCCCATTGTAGGTCGAGACCAAATCCATAGCTGAGCCTAATGACAAGGATTCGCAGGGAATTTCTGTTGAGACGTTGGTAACCAGTAACAACAGTCTGGAAACACATGTGAAGCCACTGCTGTTGACATACGCACTTCCATACAATAGGATGATCGTGAAAAAAGGCTGAACCAAAACGTCCAAACCGATTATTTTTCTCGTTTTCATTGTCCCAATGCTCGCCTATGATAATCTATCTAAGTTATTGATTTATAAACACAACAATCCACCTTTGTATGAAATCAGATAATGGAAGTCTTTAGTGAAATATATTTTTCTGTGTGCATTATTATAATTCAATTAAGATGCATGACATAAAATAACCGGGTATTTATAATCGGATGGATGCCTATTTTGCATAAATACCCGATAATTAAGGATGGTGATTTTTGGATAGGATAATTTTAACTAAACTTATTTAAATGGTACAATCATTGAAACTAAAAGGTATTTAGAGGTACTGATTATTAGATATAAAAATCGTATGTGTGTGCTGGATTTAATCTTGGCTGTAACCAAAGAATATTCTTTCCGTTATTCTTACACTCTATAATAATCTAACCGTAAAATGTTGAAAATAATATTCTGAAATTAGCTCGTAATATTATTTATGTTAACAGCTATGGTTTTTAATTTACATTTTGTGTTGATGCGATTTTTAAAATCAGTTTCATTTCAATTTGTACCAATTCATACTCGATTTACGAGTATTATATTATATTTACTAGTAGGAAAACATTGTTTTTTTTTCTTTGGACATAGTTTCGAACTGAAAATTTGATTTGTTCTGCTTTCATTACCAAACAAATAGCTACCATCCAAACTTTACTAACATCCAATAAATCACCAGTTTCTCGATGAAAAGTGCCATCAGCAAAAAATATTAGTGCAACAATTTTTTTTTTTTTCAATTTAGAATACTGTAATGAATTTTGCTGTCGGGAAATCCCTGCCTTGGAGTGAACGCCTCAAATGACTCATTGACGGTATCTTTGGAACATTTTAATATATCTTTAAATTCATTAAGTCATAAATAGTATATTTCATTACTAGGACCGAAAGTGGCATTTTCCGTCGCGCGCCCAAGTTTTTGTGTGAGGCGAAGCCGAACATAGGGAACTCCAATTTCACGTGCGAGGCGAAGCCGAGTATGTGAGAGCTATTTTCACGTACGAGGCGAAGCCGAGGACGGGAATAATGGAGCAAGTGCCGGATGATAACTTTCGGTACGAGTTATGAACGATACTTTTCATCACGACGCAAAAATACACAAACACAGAATAGCAGACCTCAGTATATTAAAACAATTTGATTTCTCAATTAATTTGATTGAACATCAAAATAAAATAAAATCTTCTAAAAAGAAACCTACCTACGTATATTTCTCAATAAATTTTGTTTAAACATCAAAATAAAAGAATAACACAACTTTTAAAAATACATACAGCTGATTAAAATCATTAAATTAAAACATAACAAAACACTGGCGCGCGTAGTGAATAAATGGAGAACTAATTGAGAGCGAGGGAAAGTAAATTTAGAGCGAGGGAAAATCAGCTGATCGATTTTCCCTCGCCCTAAATTAGAGCTTGGGAAACGACTACTTTCATTGATATCAGCTGTTATCGAAAATAGTTACTTTCGTTAAGGAGTGATGAAAAGGGTTTTACTCATGATAACGAGCTGGTCTTATGCAAGGTAGTGGAGTGATGGTACACAATTGTTAACATAATACAGTATAGATATTTCGTAGTCATATTCAATACACACGGCTACCAGTAAGTAGCCTACAACACAAGACGGTGATATCACCGGGAACCGTACTCAACTATGTTTTTGACTGACGGTTTGCTTGATGTTTCCCACGGCAAAAAAAACTATTTCTGATAATTATGTTGGATAACGATGGTTTAACTGTGGATGATTAGTTATATTTATATTCTACGCATAATTGTGTCGTTAAAATTGTAATAACATGGGGTTTGTCAGTAAAATATCTTTGTTATGATACTACTTTGTTACGTGCATAATTTATCCGTCGTTTTAAGCTGTTTGATGATTTTTGAGCCTTTTTACCATTTTTACATATTTTTTAAATATGGTGTTGTGGGTAATGAAACTGTTCGGAATTTAATGAGGAACCATATTTAAACATTAGTTTTTAACAAATAATAAAAATAAAGGAGCTAATTAGATAAAACCGGCATCATGTCACGTTAAACCTGCCTCCTACCAGGTCTGAGTTGGAGACCAAACACCATTGTTCTTTTGGGCCCGAACCATCTCATTTGGGCTCGGACTTGACTCGTGAACCCACCGGGACTAATGATCAGAGCCGGGACTATCTGTAATTGGACTCGTGAACCCAACTTTTAAAACCGGGTTTTATCCCTGCACTAATTGTGTGCCGCCTATCAGTTTGGTCTGCGGCTTATATAGTCTCGAGCTCGTGAACCCGATTTTTTAAGTCGCGGCCCAAATACCGGTTATTTCCGGATTCTGGGCTCGGACTACGATAGTCTCGAGCTCGTGAACCGCCCCTAACAATGTTGACATAATCTTTGAATCAATTCCATCTTAAAAGGGTAGGCTAGTTTAAAGTAGAAACTGTAGAAAAGAGGGAATGAATTATTTAATAAAAAATTGTAATCTTATTTTGGGTAGGCCTTATGCTTTTTAATGTTCTGATATGATTGGCATTCAATAAAAATCTAGTCAAATTGTGGATAATATTACTTGAAACTGAATATCAGAAATCAAAATTCACAACAATAAGAAAAATAAAATGTGATTCAATGATGTGATTAGTAATTTAAAAATAATAACCATTAATGTTTGAAAGTTACCTTTCTGAATATTGTAGTCGGACAGGGTACGGCCATCTTCCAGCTGCTTTCCGGCAAAGATCAGTCGCTGCTGGTCTGGAGGAATACCTTCCTTGTCTTGGATCTTAGCTTTGACATTCTCGATGGTGTCTGAGGGCTCAACTTCCAGGGTGATGGTCTTTCCTGTCAGGGTCTTGACGAAGATTTGCATTCCACCTCTGAGTCGCAGGACCAAGTGGAGGGTGGATTCCTTCTGGATGTTGTAATCTGACAGGGTTCGGCCATCTTCCAACTGCTTTCCGGCGAAGATCAATCGCTGCTGGTCTGGAGGAATACCTTCCTTGTCTTGGATCTTAGCTTTGACATTCTCGATGGTGTCTGAGGGCTCAACTTCCAGGGTGATGGTCTTTCCTGTCAGGGTCTTGACGAAGATTTGCATTCCTCCTCTGAGTCGCAGGACCAAGTGGAGGGTGGATTCCTTCTGGATGTTGTAGTCAGACAGGGTTCGGCCATCTTCCAACTGCTTTCCGGCAAAGATTAGTCGCTGCTGGTCTGGAGGGATACCTTCCTTGTCTTGGATCTTAGCTTTGACATTCTCGATGGTGTCTGAGGGCTCAACTTCCAGGGTGATGGTCTTTCCTGTCAGGGTCTTGACGAAGATTTGCATTCCACCTCTGAGTCGCAGGACCAAGTGGAGGGTGGATTCCTTCTGGATGTTGTAGTCAGACAGGGTTCGGCCATCTTCCAACTGCTTTCCGGCAAAGATCAGTCGCTGCTGGTCTGGAGGGATACCTTCCTTGTCTTGGATCTTAGCTTTAACATTTTCAATTGTGTCTGAAGGTTCTACTTCAAGCGTGATGGTTTTTCCAGTTAGTGTTTTGACAAAAATCTGCATACCACCTCGCAGGCGCAAAACTAAGTGAAGAGTTGACTCTTTTTGGATATTATAGTCAGACAAAGTTCTGCCGTCCTCAAGTTGCTTACCGGCAAAAATCAGTCTCTGTTGGTCTGGTGGGATGCCCTCCTTATCTTGGATCTTAGCTTTAACATTTTCTATTGTGTCTGATGGCTCAACTTCCAGGGTGATGGTCTTTCCTGTCAGGGTCTTGACGAAGATTTGCATTCCACCTCTGAGTCGCAGGACCAAGTGGAGGGTGGATTCCTTCTGGATGTTGTAGTCAGACAAGGTTCGGCCATCTTCCAACTGCTTTCCGGCGAAGATCAGTCGCTGCTGGTCTGGAGGAATACCTTCCTTGTCTTGGATCTTAGCTTTGACATTCTCGATGGTGTCTGAGGGCTCAACTTCCAGGGTGATGGTCTTTCCTGTCAGGGTCTTGACGAAAATCTGCATTCCACCACGCAGCCGCAGGACCAAATGGAGGGTAGATTCTGCAACATTCACAAAAGCCCATCAGCATCAACATTAGCCATTAGCATTCACCATCAGCATTTAACACACTTATGGTGTCAATTTGACTGGTTTAACATCATTATTTTTAATGGTAATATAAATGGCGTACTCTAAAAGAGATGAACAATAAGTCTACTAAACCTTAAATCTTGAAAAATGCCAATTAAACCTTCAGTAGGTAATAGAAATTGTACGCCTGATCTCTTAGATCTTGAGTTACTTTAGCAGCCAAAATTGTCATTAATTACTTTCATAACAACTGTCCAGGATTAATAAGCCTCACTGTTTACCAATTAAAAAGTTTTAAAACTCTTGATTAATGAAAACATGTTAAAAGAGCCGTAGATGTTCATTAACTTTGTGACGGAATAAATTGAATTCTTCAAAATTGTTATTTTAGTCATAAACTATTACACAAACTACAAAAGGTTGTTTAAGAACTAAATGCTCAAGACTATTCCTTAATAAACAAAGTTAGGAAAGTTCATGGTACAGCAAAACACAAATAAAAAAAATTAAAACTAGACCTAGGGTGCCAATAGATGCCGAGTCTTATAATTATTTTTGAAAGAAGAAATTAAAATTTGTACTACAAATCCTAGGGTTTTATAAGGTTCAAATGCTTACAAGGTTAGATTTTTTAAATTTATTCTCTGAATGATTAAATACCATACCTTTCTGAATGTTGTAGTCAGACAGTGTACGGCCATCTTCCAATTGCTTTCCAGCGAAGATCAGTCGCTGCTGGTCTGGAGGGATACCTTCCTTGTCTTGGATCTTGGCCTTAACATTCTCGATGGTGTCCGAAGGCTCAACTTCCAGGGTGATAGTCTTGCCTGTCAGAGTCTTGACGAAGATCTGCATACCTCCTCTCAGACGCAACACCAGATGGAGAGTGGATTCTGCAAAACATGAAGATACTTTGTTAGTAGATGGAATTCTGGAGAGAGTATATTTCCTATGACTGGTCACAGGTTCATCAAACTCTTACGTGTATTTGGAGATAATAGTTCTTAAATACAGCAGAGGCACTAATAGAGTTAGTCCCATTGAAATTTATGGACAAGGCCAAGATGACATATTCTGAATTGGTTGTTGAATTAACATTTGTAAAATTACCCCAAATAATCCAACTGAAAACTCATGAAGAATAGCCTACACCCTATGTAACAAGCTTCTAGCTAAAAAAAAATATTCAATTACAGAATGTGCTTCTGATAAAACTTCAAAAACATTTACAGCATTTTCCACAACAAAATAGTTAGGAGTAAAAAAAAAAAAAATAAATAACTTATTAAATGGGAAGAATTTTCTTAACTTCACTTAAACAAATCCTCCATCTACACACTTAATGAAGCACGTGTAAATTGCATACCTTTCTGGATGTTATAGTCAGACAGTGTACGTCCATCCTCCAGCTGTTTGCCAGCGAAGATCAGTCGCTGCTGGTCTGGTGGGATACCCTCCTTGTCTTGGATCTTGGCCTTGACATTCTCGATGGTGTCTGAGGGCTCAACCTCCAACGTAATGGTCTTTCCAGTCAAAGTCTTGACGAAAATTTGCATTTTTCTAAAACAAATAATATTACTGTGAAACAATTTGACCAGGAACGAAACAAAATTTGTAAATGGGATTGAGCTAAAAAAAACAATTTAGCGTAAGAATACAATCTACTGCTGAGACATCTATGGACTGTCAATAATCCAATCGCCGGTCCAGAAAAAATAGTAAAAAGATATGCTTCTTTAGAATGTTTGTAATTCTTGTTGTATTCTTCCAGACTATCCTTAAGGCAAGTATATTACAATTTTAAAAAACGATTAGGGACGTTATTGGAAACAATGAATTGACCTAGGCCTACTATTAAGCTTAGGCCAAAATATTATTTGAAAAATTATTATCATTTAGGCCTAGAAGACTAAGTTAGGCAACATAATATCTTCAAATTAAATTTCATTTTTAAAGATGAACAAACTTGGTAGGCTAACGTCTTTATTTCACAAATGCAATAACTTAGGCCTATGCCTTGGTTATTGCATTTGTGACGACAATGTCAAAATGGTTGTTTCAATGAGTTAACCCTCGAAGTGGTCACCATGCAGTTTCCATAGTGGCCATCCCAACTTGCTTTTATTGCAGACATTTTAGCGAACTTCCCCATAGGGAAGTAGCAATTACCATAGGTGGCACGGTAAGACCTAGACCCGGGACCGATTTACTTTTTAATTTGATGTCCCCAGAGGCCAAAAACACCATTTGTTCAAATTTATATACTAGGTACGTCTGTGAACGCTACTATAACTTGAGTAATTTTTGTCCGATGAATTGTTTTGATGAAATTTGGTTTGGCGTAACTTATCTTAGGCTATCAAACTTAAACTATCAAAATTTCAAATTTCAAAAATTTCACCTAGACTTTCTTTTTAGTTTTTGTAATTTTGTTAAAAATTTAATCAAGGGTCCAATCCTAATTTCTACTCACATATTAAGATTCCCCTGGAATAAAACTAGTAAGCACATTGATATATTCCAACAATACTTTTTTTACTTAGGCCTACATTTGGTAACATTTAAAAAATCCTTTCAAACATTTAGTAGGCCTATCTGTTGGCACAAACAACCAAATGAAAATATCGATTGATATATTGAATAAATTAATCAATATTTACATTCAGTTGTTTGTGCCAACAGATACGTCTAGCCAACCTTTATAAATATTATATTTTTATAAAGGCAATTTTATTGCAAATCTAGGAAAAATGTTTTATCAAAATATTTGCAAAAATAAAAAAGCTGTAGCCATTTTATATAACTTAATTTTATATTAGGCTATCTTAATAGGCCTTAGGTTAGTCAAGTTTAGGCTCATTCTTAAGTTAACTTAAAATGTTTAGCCTAGGTCTAATCAGTGTTGGAAACTTTTCAGGATCCGAACCGTTGGCCTCTCAGAGGGTTGAACCTACACAAGGCCCCACTAGAAAAAGCAGGCCATGCTGCAGGATCCATGACGTCACACTAGTGGATTGATTTAATTGATAAATTCATTGCCATCACCATTCCCATATGTTTTAGGTAAATAAACAAGCTGGCTGTTTTTAAGATTTTAATGGTAAGAGTTTAGTACAACTATCCACCACTGTGACGTAGTGTTGCGCTACCCGCGCTGCAGCATGGCCTGTTTTTTCTAGTGGGGCCTTGCCCTACATCCCAAACACACTTCAGGTTTTCACGGTTGACAAAATTCAGGCTCATTGATGATTTGAATGGGACTCCCAGCTAATTATTTTCAGTCATAGTCAAGCAAATGGAAGTGACAACTTTATTAACTAACTCTGATTCTACAATATGAAAATCACCTGATTAAGTTACACTTTACACTTTCTAAGACCAATAACATAAGACATTAAATACAATGACATTACTAAATACTAAGACATTTAATAAAATGTATTAGGGTGAATCTCACAAAATGTAACACTTTGAATTTAAACTTTAAAAAATGTTTTAATTGTTTTAAATAATTTAAATTATTAGTAGATTGAAACTTTATATTGTAGCCTATAAAATAGATTTTCATATCAGCAGAGCTGAATTTGATCATTTCCTATTTTTCCCATTATTTCAAATTTAGTTGACACAGAAACATTTACAATCAGGTAACGCTTAAAAACTAGCAGTGATAAATTTTATTAAATGATAAAATAATTATATAAACAATATAATAGACCCTTAATTATTAAAAATCAAATGTTAAAAAATGTTTATTCAAATTACTTTGCTAATTATAAGGAAAAATTGTTGTATTTGTTGGTTACCTATTTAAATAACATTAGTTTAACGAGTACTTAGGTTTGCTGCAACAGGGAGGGTAAAAAGGTGTTTTTTTTGTAAAATATTAATAGTTTAGTATGAAATTAATGCATTTTCCAAATTTGATCAAAATATGGTCATAAACAAGCAAGTTACAACAGTTTACTTATTCTCCATAAGAATAATATAGGAATTTTAAATTTAGACCTACAGTTTTTTTGAATTTTCTCCATAACCATTAGGCGCATAACAACGCTTCAATATACTAAATTATTTGTTTTTTTGAGCTCTACAAAATGGTTTGTAAAGTAATTGCAAATTTTTTGTTTTTAGGGTCAAAAATGGGAAAAACCAATTTTTGCCCCACAAAACCCCTCATAAACCCAGTTCCCATTGTCCGATCATGCTGGTTCGCGAACTCGTTCGAATAAACGTAGGTTTACACGTTTGTACCAAATTTCATCAAAATCGGATGGTTTTTGCTCGAGTTATGGCGCTAATGGACACATATATAAATATAGAAATAAATATAGGCCTGTATATGGTTTTGAACGGATGGTGTTTTTGGTCTCTAGAGACCTCAAAACAAAAAAGTAAATCGGTCCCGGGTCCAGTTCTTACCATGAGTACTACGGTAATAGCTTATTCCCAATAGGGGAAATTCAGTAAAAATAGCAAAATTAACAAAAAAAAAAACATGGTTAAAGTGAAAGATTAATTTTACCATGTGAACACTTAATGAATAATCCATAAAAAATCACTTCAGAAAAAGTACCGTAACAAAGTGTTTTTCTCAGGATTTTAATTTTAAAACATTATTGACTAATCACTTAATTTTTTTTACAACGATGTTACCATGTTTAGTCAAAGATGTTATTCTTCTCAATCAACCATGTTACTCTCTTAACTTAACCTGAACTTGTAACGGCGTAGCAGACTAGCACTACGCAGCACATATGAGTAGGTATGAGTATTTTTGTTTTGAGTTCTAGTCGAAGTGAAGTAAAATGACGTCACTAGGCATAATGCCGATGATAGAATCATCAGAGTGAGTTAATAAAGTTCAAAAGTTGTTACTTCCAGTTGCTTTTCGTGTGGTTGAAATCAGTCAGCTGTAGGCTTTACCCACAGTTCATTCCACTTGTAAATGTTATCCAACCTTGTTTATTGAAGCCTAATGTTGTATATTTTACGGCAATATCTTGAGAAATATTCATCAGCGGTGAAAAATAATAGTACATTTGGATTCAGGAGATAAAAAACTATAGGCCCTAGGCCTAAAAATTTGTTTGGAGGCACCTAGATACAGAATAAATACCCAGAAATTGATTTCTTAAAATAAAAAATAGTTGGGAAATCTATGTTAACCAGTTTGGAAATTTGAGGCTTCTCCCCCACCCCCCCTAGAATTTAACCAAGCAACGCCACTGAATGGGAGGAGTATAACTTAAGTAAAGCTGTGTTTACACCAAAATTTCAAACAAAAAACTTGCAAACCTTATTTTTATTTCAAGGCTATATTTCCATGTTTCATGAAAATGTTTGAAACACTTTCAACGTTGATTATGACTCCCCTGCTCTGGTTCCTGGGATTGAGGAGTGATCATTTTAGTGTCGTAAATGATCACTTAAATGTATTTAAGTGTCGAGGATGTCATTTTGAATTAAATATCATCCATGCGTAGTTTTATTGTTTTTATTTTTGTAATCGGAAATAGTTTGGTTCCACAGGACTTGCTGCTTACTGTAATTACCTACTAGCTAATTAAGTTTAGAATTTTGCCATCTCCCCACTCCATCTCACTCAGTAAATTTTCCATTGTCAACAAGCACGAGGTAACTAAGCCCAATAGCCTAATAATTTTTCATCCCCCAAAACATTGGGATTTTTTATTGAGCTTCTTATTATTTATTGTAGCAGTCCAGACACGGTAAAAATGACACTTGACACAGGGTGGTGTGAGTGAGTGTGAGGAGGTGGCAGCTTAGGGGATGGCGAGGAAATGTTTCTTGTTTCGAGTTTCAACAGCACATAAGTTAAGTGACCGAATTACAGACTTCAGGTGGAAACAAAAATTTGTTGCAAACACTGAAAAACTGTTTGCAACAGCGAAATGTTTTGTATAAAATTGCACGTTTTTATAGATGTTTTCAATTTCTGTTTGCAATTCCTGTTTCAAACTCCAGTGCAACTTGAGCGCGGTTTTAGGCTAACTTAACTTATGCCCTAACAGCGGAGCCTGGGCTAGACATATTTCCCTTCCAAGTTATCAGGTTGCTTATGAAATAAATTAATAACATAAGCTTTGAAAAACTGCCAAGAAATAGGAATTGAGTAGGCCTAGGCCTATAAGGAAATGTCTACATTGTGACGCAGCAGACCTTCCTTTGTGAGTCAGCATGTTTCGTCAGATCAATTATGAGCTCCATCAGCCTTACGAAGTTCCGCAATTTATGAGATTGAACTTAAATTAAAATGCGTTTGGTAATTTACTGGAACTAATCGTCTACCTCTAAATAAGTTATGAAGTTTTTCTCTGGCGAACTTATAATATCCTTCTTCCTTTGTTCCACGCAAATTCAAAATGGCGTAGGCTAGGCCTAGATTAGAAAGCCAGTCATGAAAACTTACTTTGCATTACATAGAACGAAATCTTGAGTCTTAGGGTTTGCAAACATAAAATAAGATGTCGTTCCTCATACTTACATGATATTTCAAACTCAGTCCTCACAATTCGAAACTTGCAACTATGCACAAACTTGAGCTACAGCTGAATTAGGCTACTATGATCACCTCTTCACTTTCAGAAACTGCGGAAATTTTCAAGATGTCGGGTTTTATAGGAGCGTCGAGGAAGCATTTCATTGGCTGACATATTTAGCGCAACGTTGACGTCACGGTACTTCGTACAGGATAGCCAACGCACGATTGAAAAATACCACTATTGCAACTAACGCTCCCCTGTTAGTAGATATGAAAACTGACAGTGTTTATTTACCAATGGTGGCAAGACTTGGATCAGCTGACAATTGTGACGCATACATTGTTTTGCAGCAATGCATCGCATCCTAAAAAATCTAGAGAAATTGAGAGAACGAACAAGCAACAAGAAAGAACTAACGAGAAGCTTCTAGACTAGAATCAAAGGCCCAGAAGTTAATTGACAAATTAACATAACAATAATAGTTGGTTATTAATTAACTGTAAGTTCGAAATTAAAATATGAAAAAACGGCATTTTGAGGAACATCTTTTCGCCCTACAAATAACTTAAAACTATAAGAGTAAATGAACTCTTACGACGAAAGATGCATAATAGAAATTTTAGATTACAAACCACGATCATTGACCAATATTCACAAAGGTATTTTCCTAAATTGATGTTTATCGCAATAATAACGGGATTAGAGCACACCAAATGAAATATATATTTGCATTCTCTCTTCATTTAAATTAAATATTTATTGGCAATTGGCCCAGTGACTCCACAAATTAAATTCAAAATAAAACCTTGTATGGGCAGAAATAATAATTGCATACGATAATTTATAGTCAAAGTTATTATTGAATTTCGAAAATCAACAAATTTAACATGTGTGTATATTATTTTTTAAATATATAGGAACTGTTATTCGATAGTATAAATTAGACTGCATGCACTCATGCACATACAGTACCAGATCTTATTTCTAAGACGTCCTATACCAATATATAAGTAATGTATTTTTATGAATTTGAACCCCTCCAATAATTTAAGGTAATTTAAGTTACGCCTTGAAAGAACCTTCCAGTAAACACATGTTGATTTATTTTCCTGTTTCATTAAAATTAATTAAAAATCCAAACAAGGCTAAGGAAATTGTTCTAGTTTGGTGTCACAATATTCACGTGGATTTTACTAGTAAGGAAAAAGGTATATAGGCTATATGCATTTTAGTGTTTGCACTCGATTTTTAATTTCTTATGAGTTAAAAACAAAACTCGAGTCTTCATGTATAAGATACACATAAACTGAGTTTATTCCTACAAATCTACTTTAGTGAAGCCATTCCAGCGGAGATGCTTCTTCTGCGCGTGATTTCTGTTATCGATCATGTACCTTTCACGAGGCCATCCATTTGGATTAGGTAATAATCCATTTGTCAGGTGGTTGTGTAAACCAAATCAACACAAGTTGTTATGTGGTTTTCAAGGGATATGCGCAGTATTGGAATACTTTGCTGCAGTGGCGTTGCTTGGTTAAATTCCAGGGGGGGGAGAAGCCTCAAATTTCCCAACTGCCTAACATAGATTTCCCAACTATTTTTTTTTAGAAATCAATTTCTGTACCAGTACTATTTTTAAAAATCTACAAATTATTATACTACACTGCAGTAACATTCAATTCAGTATTTATAAACTCGCATTAACAAAACATAGCTAGTTTTACATCCTATACAAAATTACTCAATTTCTAAAACTTCTACCAATTCATAATGAAATTTTATGACTTCAAAAAGCTTGAACAAGTAATGTTTCGAATCCAAAAAACTTTAAAAACCATTGTGGTAGCAGACGTAGCAGTGTAAAATTTTAGTGATATAAAATAAGCCTCAGAGTACAAATTAGTGGGTATAGAAAATATATTTTATTACAAAATAATGAAACTAAAATACTTTTAGAAGTTAAGATCAACATTTTAACTTTCATAAAACTTACAGCTAGGGTAGGCCTAAACAAGTTTGTAATGATGAAATATTAATATCAGTGTTGTGAATAATATTACTCTAGCCTAGAAAGGAATAAACCTAAAGTAAGACTCGTATAAAATAAAAACGTTCAACTTGGTTGATAATAAACTTATACATACAATAAAAATGTTAACCTTCATCTTCATCAAACTAGAACTTAGACAAAAATCAAACTTAGAGTGAAAGTCAAACATCAAATTTTAGGTTATGTTTTGTCCACGTAGATCTGTTTCAGAGGGATTAGTTGATTCATTTTTGTAAATCCTTAATTAGGAGTGATAAATAACTTGTGTAGATTTTTAAAATATATTCAGAGAATAAATATTCCATTTAGTTTATTAAAAAATAAGAGTTTTAAAGGTAATACCGATACACAAAACCTATGTTTAATGTTATTTTAATCTGCTTATTAGCAAGTACTCCGGTCAGTTAGCCTGCTCCAAATACCACAAAAAAGGTATAAAATATATTTCATGTGACTGACGTGAAAAATATTTTTGAATTTCTTGTAAACACTAACAAACAACATAATTGAACAGAAGAGCTACATTGCTTGCACTTTCAAAATTCAAACTTGCAGACGAATCATTCAGAATAATCAACACAGGACAGGATCAAGGTACCCAACATGCGTCCAATAAGGAACAAAATTTCTCGTAAACGAAATTCCAACAAGCTTTACCGCTAATTGATTATTGATTTCTTAAAATAAGGCGTGTTTAGCCATGGTTTAGCCTTGTTTAATCAAAGTTAAATTAAATCAAAGAAGCGTCAAGTTTATTTGTCCAAGTCAAAGAAATTTTTCCCTTTGATGGATTTTTGCAAATATTTAAATTTTGTTTAGTTTAAAAATATATTTTTCTTGTATCCGACTTCCCAACTGTCCCAACTCATGGCAAGGAAATTCCCAACTTTTCTCTTTCCCAGATTCTAGGGGGGGAGGCTCCCCCCCCTACCCCCCCCAAGGCGACGCCCCTGCTTTGCTGAGCCGTTGAAGTGGGTAACGGTTAATAATACGTGAAGAGCAAATACAGATCTATTCTATTTTATGTAAAATTTAATAAAAAAAATGTTTCAACTCAATACATCGGTCGTGAAACCCAAAAGGGATTAAATCAATAAAACCGTTATTAACAAAAATATTTTTGAGTAAAGTGTCGAACAAGATAGTATAGCTCTCCGAGCCCCTCCTTTTATGATTGGTAAAGTAGAATCAAAGGGAACCCCCGTGGTGATCCACAGCTGGAATTGGCAATTATTATGAATCAAAATTTGGAACAAAATTTTCAAGATCAAGAGTTAATATTCTTTTACAACAATTTAAAACTGTCCAAAATACGGACATCTGGGCCCCACAACGCGTTATTCGAAACCAAATATAACATTCCATCTTAAAATGTTGGATTAATTTATAGTTGTAGGGCCTATTCATTTTTTTTATAACATACTTTTCTGACTTACAACAACACGGGATGTCTTAAGTACTTTTTTACACCATATTACAAATTCATTTTATAACACATAGGCTCGGAAAGGCCAATGACTTATGACTCAATCGCCACATCTGTGACTCACAAGCATTTTACCCATGATGACGTCACACCACTAGACAACAATAATGATACTTCACGGTACTGTATTGTGTCAAATTTCTCTACCGTATCGTACCGTTATGAATTATCCCCCCGTTGCATTTGCTGCGGTTAACTTAATATGCAGCCCAATAAAACAAAATAAAATTAATTCAAAATGTTCAGCTAGTATAAACTAGTGTTCCTAGTTTTATTGCGCAATTGTACCCAAGAACAGTGTTTAACCTCAATCCGCCATTGCAACAGATATTTTTGAAACGCATTGCAAACAATACGTCGTGGCTGCGATTATTGATCCACCATATTGGCTGGGTCGTCTCTTTGTTCACGATCACCTATGGACTATTATTTTGAGGTTGGTCAAAATCCGTTAGCTGCTCCCAACCCATTTGAAATCAAGTAAAGTCAGGTTATAAGTGGATAATTTTCAATTTTCCTTACATTTTAAGAGTCTTCATCAGTGGTAGCCATCTTGAATCTTAGTCCCATAAGACTAATGTTAACTTGGTGGCGGTATTACGTCTCTTCCGATTGTTGTAAAGATATAATTTTTATGTCAAATTAAAGGTATGGTAGTCCTCTAGCTAATGTATTGCGTAAATTGTTCATTACGAGGCTAAATTTTGAAATATGAATAAATTAGTGAGCTATAAATCAAATATTTTTTAACTACAAACTAAACCATATTTTCAAAAAATAACTAATACATTAGCTAGAAACGTGCCTTATAATCATAATACTAAATTTTGGAATTTTTATTTCCATAAATAACTGTGTAATTTTGTGACAAGTAATTACGTTGAGTATACTGATCGGAGCGCAGCAGAGTGGCCAAGCGGGGAAACTCGTGAAGGCGGAGTGATACACTGAAGTTTCGGAGAGAGTGGCGCGAGCCCATATAATTTAAAAACTACAAATTATTGGACAATCGTTTGCTGTATTACCACTTTTTATGTATCCGGAACTCTTGGTACTACTTATTAGACGTGATTGATGCTGCTTTAAGCAATCAGATGATTGTGCTTCAAAATACTGTAATGAATATTAATTTTTCTTTCGATTAGGCGGATTGATTTTGAAAGCCACAGGAAGTACTTATGCGAGAATTCTTCTACGTATGTAGCCTAGTGTATGAGTAAATTTAATGATGTAATGTATTGTTTTGCCTTTGTGAAGACTATGATTTAGTAATCCGGAAAGGGGCACACAAACAATGTAAGCCAACGACATAACGGCACAGGGGGCTGTGAACTAAAAAGCGCTTCTTCTACATAGAAACGAATAACAAACAGGAAACTCCAAGTCGTCTGGACCAGTCTTATCCCCTAATGAATTCTGTGTAGCTGAATATATCTTACTGAATATAGTAGTTAGAAGTACTATATCGTGTGTGATAAATAATTTAGAGTGTTTTACATTCGCGAAGATTGTAGTTGTTAGTTTTACGTAGCCTACTGCAGATTTGAACAAATCCCAATATTTTTTTTTTAAACAAGGAGTCTTAACTAATT